TGTGCAAGGACTTTAATTGTCCTATTGAAGTTGGAAGCTTGCGGAGGTGTTTACATCTGTCCAACTGTAACATTGTAAGGTTTTCCAACATCCCTATCGATTCTGGCAATGCAGTAATATCAGCTTCAGTTATGACTATTGTAGTCAATGCCTTCATGCTTCCAATTGATTCTGGTAACGATCTAAGAAATGCACATTTCCTCATCTCAAGCTTCTCAAGTGACTTCAAGGCACCAATCTCATGTGGAAGATCTGTGATTAATGTCTGATCAATTTTTAGCACAACTAGAGAATTCAATCCTCCAATTGAATCAGGCAATCTGCTCAAAATTTGACCGTGTCCTGTTGATAATTCCTTCAAATTTGATAATGAACCAATGGACACAGGAAGTTCTTTGATTCCGCTACCATAAGTATGAAATTCCATTAACGAACTGAGGTTGCCAATGGAATCAGGAATAGTTGTCAGTGATTTACACCAGAGCAAACTTAGTTTCTCAAGGTTTGCCAAACATCCAAAGGAAACAGGTAGTTTTTCTAAAGCAGAATCGTTGAGGGAGATTTCTTTCAGAGAATGCAACTTTCCTATCAACGCAGGTAGCCCTTTCAAATGTTTGCACCCCTTCAAGCTGAGCTTTTCGAGTTTTGAAAACCGGAAAATAGATTCAGGAAGACTTTTTACAGCAGTGCCATCAAGGAGAAGATCTTTTAATGATACCATGCTGTCCATGTTGCTTGGCAGTTCTTTCAGTTGTGAGCAACCAGAGAGGATTAGGTTCTCAAGTTTTGTCAGGCCGGAGACATCATTTGGAAGTTCAACGAGGTTTTCACAGTCTCGAAGGTTCAAGTGGACCAATGTATGCAAATTCCCAATCGAGGCATGAAGTTTAGTCAGTTTACTGCAACGCTCAAGATTAAGCTTTTCCAAGGCCTGATTCCCAGATAAATCAGGAATGGTGGTTAGGTTAAAGCAGCCATATAGATTCAAAAGCATCAATTTCTCAGCCACCTGGAAACAATAAAAGTGTATGAGCATCTACCAAACTGCATTAGTTGTGCCTTAGAAATAGAAAGGAAGAGACAGAGATACAAGGCAGACACATATGAAGATCAGTGATATAAATTCTTGCTGTCACAATTATAATGATAAAGATGATGGATCAGATAGTGAAGCATATACCTTGTTACTGCGCCCATGCCACAAACGTTCGATTTTGCTGCGTGAAAGATCAAGGACAGCAAGTTGGCGAGGGGGAAAATCCGAAGGAAGAGAATTCAGAGGACAACCTTTCCACTGTAACCACTTCAACTCTGTGGGAAAACTTGAAGCGGCCTTCCAAATTCAGATAATTGATTTGAAGCAGTCTAAGATTGACCATTTTTCTTAGGGGTTTAGAGCAAATAGTAACCTGTCTCTCTTTCTCTGCTTTCGTTTGAAGATATGTTTTGTATCTTTCTTTTAGGTATGTAACTGCAGAGGTAAAAGTTGGGCATCTTCGAAAGTTATCCCAAGAAATTCTGTCACCACTTGGATCCTTCACCAGCCTTTTTGTTGATTCAAAGTCTAGTACTATCCCCTGTATACTTCTTGTTCCCTATTATCAAGGTATGGAAAAATATGTAAGAAATTGAGTGAAGAAAAATAATAATGCATCATCCTTTAAGACATTCAAGCGTCTTCAACATTCTTTTTTTTTGGGTCGAAGCGTCTTCGACATCTAAATCTAGCCTGAAGAGTATAAACAATAAAAATAATAGTGCTGGAATCTCTACCTTATCATCCTTGAAGACATTCAATATTTCATCACGATCCCAAAGTCTACTACGCATGCCAGGATCTACAACGTTTTCCTCTGTAACGATTTGTCTTCCCATGTCTTTAACTTGATCGTGCATCCACAAGATACCGTCTCCATAAACTTTAATGAGAGATTTTGCTACGAGGTCAGCAATTGCTATCTCACCATCAAAACCACAACCTTTTAATATGTCAATTGCATCTTCTCTCGTCATATTCATTGTTACAAATAAACATGCAATGTCTAGAAAGATGCACTTCTCTTGCTCATCTAGCGCATCATAACTTATCTTTAACACATCCTGAAGATTGCGCGGACGAATCTGTTTCAGTTTCTGCAGAGCATCTCTCCATTCCTCTATTCTCCTCTTATCAAAAAGGTAAGAACCAAATACTTCAAGAGCCAATGGTAGCCCACTTGTGAGAGACACAATTTGCTGAGACAGAGTTAAGAAAGTATCCGTGGGTTTTTCTCTTCTCAGTGCATGGTAACTAAAAAGTTGAAGTGCCTGAGAGAAATGCAACTCCCTGACCTCATACAACTCGTTCACAAGATGACTGGGTAAGACTTCTCTATCTCTGGTGGTAACAATAATTCGGCTTCCTTCATAAAACCATTGTCTGCTGCCAACTAAAGCATTTAGTTGGTTTACATTATCAACATCATCCAAGACAATAAGAACTCGCTTCTCGTATACAATTGCTTTGATTGCAGAAATACCAGTATTAAGTTCACTTACAGACATGGTATTAGAAGAAAGACTACCAATAAGTTTGTTTTGAAGTGATACTAAACCCTCATGCCCTGCTGAAATTTCTCTAACATTTGAGATGAAACTGTGGCGCTCAAAATAACCCACAAGTCTATTAAAAAGAGCCTTGGCAAGTGTTGTCTTGCCAACACCACCCATGCCATGAATTCCGACAACTCTAATGCCCTTGGATCTTACATCTAACAACCTCATCATGTCTTCAACTCTGGAATCAAGTCCCACTGTGTATGCAGCAAGACCCACAGGAGTTTTGCGTATTTCAGTCAAAACCGTTTTGACTAACAATTGAATCAACTCTGCTTCTTTGCTGTCAATATACATAATCACAAATACATCACTTAGGCCCTTAGGGTGATGAGCAAAACATAGAACGCCTGGGAATTAATTGTATCTGTTACAGACAAGTTTATCTTGACAACAACTAGATCTTGAAACAAGCCAAAAGTAACAAATCAACTGCAAATCATGTTATCAGTGATCATACAAGAGGAATATGACGTAGAACGAAAACACCAATTAGTTAACGGGTGGTCCTCAGAATGAAATCATGTTATGCAGCAAAACACACGGAGCAGCTATTTACGAAAACAAGTGGTCCTCAGAAACAAGCCAAAAGTCTCACACTTCAGAGCGTAAATCCGAATGAAAACGAGTCAAACCACGTGCGGTGAGGAAAGAAAGATACATTAGCTTATCTTTACAGTATTGCCCAATTTAAATTACTATATTACATATGAATGAATGAATAATCTATATATATAAAGTAAAATGAAGAGAATTGTGAAACATTAAAAATACCAAAAAATGCCCTTAGTTAATTCAAACATTAAGAATTAAAATTAAATTATACAAATTTATAAATAAACCCAATCCTAGACATGTATTTATAAAAAAACTCAAACACTATTTAAACATAGAAACACACCCAAAATCAACAATTGTATATTTTTTAGGTGTGTTTATCAATGGATTTTGAGTGTGTGTAATGATGGGTTTTGGGTGTATTTCTAAAGTGTTTTGGGTGTTGGGTTTTTTTATAATTTCAGCCCCCATTTTGGGTGTTTTAGTGAAACTCCCAATTATTAATTAAATAAGGATAATATGGTAAATTCACACTTTTTAATATTAAAAAAATTAAAATTAAAAACAAAATCAGATAATAAGTCCTACTTTTATAGAACATAACTACCTATATTATCTTTTCTTAATTTTAAAAAGAAAACCAATTAGCGCATGCGTGAGCATGTGCTAAGGGGCTAATTTAAACAAAGTGAAAAGAATACCCCACCACACTTATTTAATTAATTCTTCCAAAACACTTTGTTATATCTTAAAATCATATACCAAAACCTTAAACATTAGATAACTAAATCTCTAATCATATCTCAATTTTTGCATGGTAGCTAAGCTAAGCTAGGGTTTTAAGGGTTTTCAAACTGATTGAGTGGGAATTTAGTTATGAATTATGATTATTATTTTAGTACTATTACTAATTTAATTCGATTAATTACTACCTGGCGTTGAAAATATACCCAGCTGTACCACCGACTTTCGCCATGGCGCTCCTCCACCGGGAGACGACGGCGTTTTCGTACACTTGCTCATGAGCTCTAAAATGCTCTGCAAATGGGCCCCTCTGCCGTCGAACGTCGGAGGGGTCCACTTGGTAAAACACAGGCAGAATCATCAGGTGCAGTCTCCGGCTGCGCTCGCATATCTTAGCCAGCTCTTCAAGGCACCACCTTGACTCGGCATATCTCGGCGACAGGACGACGATGGCCGCCGCCGAGTCTTCGATCGCCTCCAGAAGACTAGAGGCGATCTCGTCCCCGCGGTTCAAACCTTCGTCGTCTCGGAAGACTCGGACGCTGCGTTTCTCGAGCTCCTCGTAGATATTCTTCGTGATCGTTGAGCGGGTGTCTTCGCCTCTGAAGCTCAGGAACACGTCCCAGCGTAGCCGGAAACCTCCCGCGGTTGGTGAAACAGAGTCGTCGGCGTTGTCTTCGCTAGCCATTTCTGCTTCACTGGTTATGCGTGCAGAGAAATGTAGGTGCCAATTAAAGGATCGATAATTTCGAATCAAAGTGGAAGCTATATATGCACCATTCGTGATTGAAGTAATGGATTATTCTTGCCAGTTGCTTGGGTTATGCCTTCCGTGTTGGACATCGCTCCAAACCAATGCAGTAGGGTTCTTTGCCCTCTCAATAGGAAAGGTGCTCGAAAACAAAATAATGTAGCCACATAAAAATGAAAGGTAAAAATAAAAATGGTAAAACTCAGTAAGAATATAAGGAGGCTGCAAAGAATAGTTGGTTTTGGTAAAGCAACAGAAAGACAAGAGAAAGCACTAAGAAGATAGAAATAATGTAACTGAGGGTCCACATACATTCTTTGTTCACTTGCTTTGGTCAACTGAACTATTTTCTTCAGTCACCTTCTTCAAAAGAGCTGAAGAACCTTGCCATCTTTTCTGAAGGAGATTGCTGGCTTTCATTTAATGATTCTTCGTCTCCCTCATAATCATCATCACCTTCATAGACCAAATGGATCCCCCACTTCTTCAGCTCAACCCCTTTCATCATCGGCGGCTCTCTTTGCATTACATGTATCTTGTAACCATCTTTCAACTGAGAAACCAAGGGATGGTGAATTGGGTATCGGCACAAGTGAACTTGGTCTTCATTTGTATTTGGCACTCCCAATAAGATCAAAGCTGAAGTGAAGGTAGGACAATCCAGTATGAGGATCTGTCCTAGAATGTCCACGATTGCGGGAAGTTCTTCTCTTATGTCATCGGGTATTTTCTGGTTGAGAGAGACTACAACACCTATGATCACACTTTTGAGAACACAGTTTTTTCTTTCGGAGAATGTAACCACATCTTGAGAAAACCAGTCTGGTATCTTGCTCCCGGGCATGCTAAGATTGCGTATTTTCCTCATGTAGCTCTGCAACAAAATTTTCCAAACCTATGATTGTGTTTCACTTTCTTATATATGTGTATAAACATGTACACACACGTACATATAAAGTATACACACGGAGACAGAGAGAGACAGAGAGAGTTAGGAGAGCACCTTAGCAAGCCTTTTCTTAATAGCTGATGAGCAAGCTGTGCAACCACTTGCATACAACCTTACCAAGGACTTCAAGCATTCGAGTCCTGGAATGTCCACAACTTTCTCACAACTTGTAAGGTTCAGCATCACCAAGTTCTCCAGGTTTGAAATGTCAGAGATACTTTCTAATGAAATACAGTTTGCAGCATCCACCTCTTCTAAACTCGAGGGAAGCGGAGGCAGAGCCTTGAGCTTTTTACAGTGAGGTAATAGAAGCTTTTTGAGAAGAGACAGGCCCCTCAGGCTGGCTGGAAGGCTGGAAAATTTATTACGGCCTAGATTCAAGATTTCGAGTGATGACAACTTCTCAAAATCATCTGCAATTTTACCAGATATATTACAAGCACGAGCATGCAGTTCATATAGCAAGGATAGATTTGAGAAAGAAGCTGGGACTATAAAATTAATCTCTTCTGTGTCTTCCCTCTTTTGATGCTTCTTTCCCATATTTAAAACCATTAAACAAGAAAGCATTCCGAAGCTTTCAGGTAGTTCTGTCACTGCAGTTTCCACCATCAGCAATCTGTGCAAGGACTTTAACTGTCCTATTGAAGCTGGAAGCTTACAGAACTGCTTACATCTGTCCAACTGTAACATGGTAAGATTTTCCAACATCCCTATTGATTCTGGCAGTTCTGTGATACCAGCTTCAGTTATGATTATAGAAGTTAGGGCTCTCATGCTTCCAATTGATTCTGGTAATGATCTCATTTCCTCATCTCAAGCTTCTCAAGTGTTTTCAAGGCACCAATCTCATGTGGGAGATCTGTGATTAATGTCTGATCTATTTTTAGCACAACTAGAGAATTCAAACCTCCAATTGAATCAGGCAATCTGCTAAAAAATTGACCGTTCCCTGTCGATAATTCCTTCAAGTTTGATAATGAACCAATGGACACAGGCAGCTCTTTGATTGGACTACCGTAAATATAAAACTCCATCAACGATTTGAGGTTGCCAATTGAATCGGGAATAATGCTCAGTGATGTACACCAGAGCAAACTTAGTTTCTCAAGGTTTGCCAAAGATCCCATGGAATTCGGTATTTTTTCTAATTTTTCGCACCCGTTAAGGGAGATTTCTTTCAGAGAACACAACTTTCCTATCAAGTCGGGGAGCCCTTTCAAATATTTGCACCTGTTCAAACTGAGCTTTTCAAGTTTTGTAAGCCGGAAGACAGATTCGGGAAGACTTATTATAGCAGTGTCATCAAGGAGAAGTTCTTTTAATGATACCATGCGGTCCATGTTGTTTGGCAGTTGTTTCAGTTGCAAGCAACCAGAGAGGATTAGGTTCTCAAGTTTTGTCAGGCCGGAGACATCATTTGGAAGTTGAATGAGGTTGGAACATTCTCGAAGGTTCAAGTGGACTAATGTCTGCAAATTCCCAATAGAGTTGTGAAGCTTAGTGAGTCCGGTGCAATGCTCAAGAATAAGCTTTTCCAAGGCCCCATTACCAGATAAATCAGGAATAGCAGTTAGATTAATGCAGCCGGTCAGATTCAGGAGCATCAGTTTCTCAGCCCCCTGGAAATAGAAAGATAAAAAAATAAAGATCAGTTATGCACATGCTTACAATGTCAAAATAATAATGAAGATGATGGATCAGATAATTAAGCTTATATGTACCTTGTGACCACGCCCACGCCACAAACGTTCGAGTTTGCTGTCTGAAAGATCAAGGACGGCAAGTCGGAGAGGAAAAAAATCCAAAGCAAGAGATTTCAGAGGACAACCTTTCCACTGTAACCACTTCAACTCAGCAGGAAGAAACTTCAAGTCCCCTTCCAAATGCACATAATTAATTTGAAGCAGTCTAAGATTGACCATTGCTGCAAGGGGTTTTGAGCAAATTATAACCTCTCTTTTTTTCTCTGCTTTATTTTGGTGATGTGCTTTGTATCTTTCCTTAACGTATGTAACTGCAGAGGAAAAAGTTGGACCTCTTCGAAAGTTATTCCAAGAAATTCTGTCACCACCCGGATCCCTCACCTTCATTGTCCTTGATTCGAAGTCTAGGACTATCCCTTGTGTATTTCTTGTTCCCTATTGTCAAGTAGGTATGAATATATATAAACAATAAAAATTATTAGAATAAAATTTATCATGCTGGAATCTTTACCTTATCATCCTTGAAGACATTCATGATTTCATCACGATCCCACAGTCTAGTACGCATGCCGGGATCCAAAAGGTTTTCGTCTCTAACGATTTGCCTTCCCATGTCCCTAATCTGATCGTGCATCCACAGTGTACTGTCTTCAGTGATCTTAATAAGTGACTTTGCTGTGAGGTCAGAAATGGCTATCTCGCCAGCAAAACCACAGCCCTTCAATATGTTAATTGCATCTTCTCTCTTCATGTTCATCTTTACAAATAAACATGCAATATCTAGGAAGATATACTTGTTTGGCTTGTCTAGTGCGTCATAACTTATCTTTAGCACATCGTGAAGATCACCTGGACGAATCTTGCTCAGCTTCTGCAGAGCTTCTCTCCAGTCCTCTATCTTCCTCTTATCAAAGAGGTAAGAACCAAACACTTCAAGAGCCAAGGGTAGCCCACCTGTAAGAGCCGCAATTTCCTTGGACAGATTGAAGAACTCATCTGTGGACTTTTCTCTTCTCAGTGCATGGTAATTGAACAGTTGTAGTGCCTTGGACGAATCCAACTCCCTCACCTCATACAACTTATTCACAAGATGACTTGGTAAGGCTTTTATATCTCTCGTGGTAACGATAATTCGGCTTCCTTTGTAAAACCATTCTGTGTTGTTGCCAACTAAAGCACTTAGTTGGCTCACATTATCAACATCATCCAGAACAAGAAGAATTTGCTTCTCATACGCAATCGCTCTGATTGCTGCAACACCAGTCTCAAGCTCATTTACAGGAGGCACCTTATTAGGGGAAAGATTACCAATGAGTTTGTTTTGGAGAGATAGCAAACCCTCATGTCCTGCTGAGATTTCTCGAACATTTGAGATCAAACAGTGGCAGTCAAAATGACCAACAAGCCTGTTGAAAAGAGCCTTGGCAAGTGTTGTCTTGCCAACCCCGCCCATGCCATGAATTCCCAGAACTCGAACCCCGCTGGATCCAACATTCAAGTCTAAAAGCCTCATCACCTCTTCAACTCGGGAATCAAGTCCCACTGTGTATGCAGCTGGGGTTTTGTTTATTTCAGTCAAAACCCTTTGGACTAAATGTTGAATGAACCCATGTGCTTCGTTGCTGTCATAAAAAATACATTTTGAGTTACAAACGGGTTAAAGGGATTCTCACGTATGACCAATATAATAATTAAACCTATGTTTTTAGGCTTTCTAAACCCGAACTCTAAACCCTCAAATCATATGCGAGAGGGACAACGACCAGCAAATGTTTGGACACTAGAATGCGCATATGGAACTCCAAATCACGGACACTAGACCTGAGACCATAGAATTTGATACTAGAATTTCAACCATTGCTTAGATTAATTCTCCTCATATATGTGATGTAGATTTAGAGTCCAACAACATAAGTAGAACATTATTCTTCGTAATTAAGAAGTTTTAGGGGATGTCCCTTTCGAATTCTTAAAAAGAGAAGGTCATTTCATGTAATACGCGGGCAGCCTCTGAAGGAGCTCTCTAGAGGTTATTAAGAACATATTTTCCTTTATAATTAAGCAACATACCAACGGGGTCTAATCCGGTGGAAAAAGGTCTTGACTTGCAAATTAGAGATCTCAGGTTTAAAGCATCATAGTTGTGTGTGTGAGAAATGTTCATTCCCTGTAATTTAGACTATAACTTGTACTTATAAAATAAATAAATAAATAAATAAAACATATCCTTTAACGGCACATTATTAATTGGTACATTGTAAAAGTTGAAGAAATGATAACTAATTAGGATCCCTAATATTACTACTCCCCTTGAAATCCGGGACAGTAACGTCATAGAGCAGGGCAAGCTTCTTGTTTAGATTTAGGTAAAGACTTGATTTGTTTCAACACCAACTGAATATAAAAGAGGAAGAAAACACGAAGTGGTTAACAGGTGAAGAAGTCAGAAACAAAGACCCAAGTCTCGCGTTTAAAGATAACCTAAATAAACACGACACTTTAGACAAGTGGGAAAAAAATAAAGGAATGAAAATGACAGTGGAAATTTAAATGGACTATATTTTTCATTTTTTAAGATAACACGGATTCGAACTTATACCATTTTTTAAAACAGATATACTATATATGCAATTAAATATAGAAATTTGCAAAAATGACCAACCGGGGTGCACAGACATGTATGGTACTGTGCATAATAAAGTGAACAGAACAGAGTAATCAAGCAGGCCTTATAAAAAGCCTAACTCAATTACTATTTTCTACAATATACAATTCATTACTTGTAATAATACACTCCAAAACCTTTTGTTAATTATTATATTTATTTAATTAGAAAAATATCCTAATAACAAAACCCCAAGAAGTCCTCTGAAAAGTGAAAAGTCAAATCTCGACCAAATAAAACTATCAGCAAGAAGAAGGAAGAACACCAACTTATTAATTCATAAGTCTTCGTCTCTCTGCAACTGCAACCTGTGTATGAATCGTTAGTTATCTCATCTCAATGTTTGTATGGCACTCACAGCCATCACCATCGTCTGACTGATCCATACTTAAAAATGAACAACATTATTATGGAGAGAGCTAGCTCGATCCAACTCTAAGCAATGCATCCTAGCTATAGCTAGCTAGGGTTTCAACTTTTATTGACGCAGCAGGTTACTAAAATACTTTAGTAAGATATGAAGAAAGCAGAGCATGCAAACTGAAAAACAAAAAACCAAAAAAGATAATATATAGGGTACCTGGTGTTGATAATATAACCCGCTATACCGCCTACTTTTTCCATGGCGCTCCGCCACCTAGGGACCTTGTCGGCGATTTCAGGCAGTTGTTCATAAACTCTAAAATGCTTTGCAAACGGTTCGTTTTGGTGTCGAACGTGAGAGGGGTCCACTTGGTAGAACACAGGCAGAATCAGCCGACTCCGGCGCTCGCATATCTTAGCCAGCTCTTCCAGACACCATTTTGACTCGGCATATCTCGGCGACAGGATCACGATCGCCGCCGTCGAGTCCTCGATCGCTTCTAGCAGACTCGGGGCGATCTCGTCCCCGCGGTTCAAAGCGTCGTCGTCTCGGAAGACTCGGACGCCGCGTTTTTCGAGCCCCTCGTACAGACTCTTGGTGATTGTTGCGCGGGTGTCTTCGCCTCTAAAGCTTAGGAACACGTCCCAGCGTAGCCGGAAACCCCCCGGACTTGACGAAACGGTGTCGTTATCATCCCCCGTAGCCATTTCAGATTACTGGAGCTCTCCTCTATCTGCTTTTTCTGCGTGCGGTAGCTCTGAGAAATCTTTACCTACCAATTCAACGATTGAGGATTGATTTTTGTGATGGAACTATATATACAAGTTTTGATTACTATATTTATTTGTCTCCGATGCAACTTTACTGAAGGACCATGTGATGATAAGTTAACTTGGATTATTGTTTCCCCCACTTACCTCACTTACCACTTATTACTAGGTTAATATTATCTCAAATCAGTTTTATATTATATAGTGTTGATCATTATGCTCAACGTGGCACCACCATACCCGCGGATTCATGTATTTAGAAAATGAACATTTCCGATTACGCTTAATGTCAAGATTGGTTAATCACAATGGAGTGGTTATGAAAGTGAAGTGCACTCAAGTGTTGTTCCATATACCCTAAATTATTTGACCTTTTCTTATCCTTTTAAATGTAAACATCTATATAGTTTCTTCTAGCCAAAAAGCGTTGCCATAATACCATGCCCAGCAAAAAGCTTCCAGCCAAAAAAAGCTTTTCAAAATAATCGGCAGCAACCTGCTGCTTCCTCTCGGCAATTCAATTTCCCTCTGAAATAAAGAGGCCCTCCCGATCCCGCACCTTGTTCTTCCTTCTCTTAATGATTGTGATAAGGCGGAAGAATTTTGTATTTCAAGGGACGGAGTTAGCATAGGCTCACTGGGCGAGGATGCCCTACTCATTTTTTTGTTGGGAAAAGAAAATCTATAGGTATATCCACTGGTTTACTTGCTTGTAACATTAGCATTGATTTTACCCGTTGCTTACTGTCATCGTCGAAAGAGCATTTTACCATGAATATTTTGAAGAATCAATCGTGAAATCGGATAGGAGATCAATGCATTAATGATAACATGGTTATATATATATTGAGGAAGACATATATGATGGCATTCATAATGAAGCCATTATGCTACAGTTTCAGAACATGAAAATGCGTAGAGGAAGATTGTAATGTATTTCATGTAAAACATTATGGATTAATATTATAAACTTTGTCTTCAATATTGTTGAACTTTTTTTTATTTTTTTTTTTATTTTTTTTTTCTTTTCTTTTTTTTTTCTTTTCGTCCCTGCCCCTCCCCTCAACCATTTACTTCTGTATTTCTGCTGCCAGAATAAAGCTTCTTGCTCAAGCATAGAGTCAAAGGTCTCGTTCTATAAATTTCGAAGGAAAAGGGTAAATACCATGCATCTGCGTTTACTGTGTTACCATAATCCCATGCATATTTTATGTTGAATTCAGTAATGTTGCTATGGTAGTTCTCTTCTCTTATCCATCCTCTCCTTTCTCCCTCTCTTGTTGCTCAAACAACAGAGGCATGATAGCAACCAATGACTAGTACTGTCTACTTAGTGACCAACTAACCAGAACAACTTGGGGTTGGTATTTTAGTCTTTATATAGGGTATTTTAGTCAGTTTGTATTGAGACTTCAGCTTTTGGAAATGTTGGTTAGATTCATCAAGCTACTTAAAAGTAGTATACAATTTGGTTAAAGATACATATACAAATCCTGCTTCCAGTGTTCCTTCTGTAACAAAATATTCAAAAATTACAGGGGGCACTAATCCAGCAAAAACAAGGTTCTTATGCCTTATGCACCACCAAATTTAGTCGATTAGCAATGAGACAGGACCGCAGTAAGGTGGCTATATCCCCTTGCTTGTTCTTAGTAATTGACAAGATTATCTTCCAAGACACATGAAGCTGCTAACCATATTCCTGCAACAAGAATGGTGTTTTATCCAATGCAAGAGAACTGTCTCAAAAACTTTATAAACGAAGGAAAAAGCATGAGAGACACCCACTCTTATCCACATTACGTACATTCCATCTTCAAAACACAAATTGATCGACTGTGATGAACCGTACCAGGTTTAACCCATGCTCCTGTTAGATTAGAGGTAGATAAAACGGGAACTATGAGTTTCCAATCAGCCCTTACCAATTTTAGAGACACACCGAATCTAGAAATCACTTTTCAAGCTTCACCTCTCCCAAGCAGCAGGGCTTATTGGAATGACACTGGCTGGAGATACAAGAGCATCCATAGAAACATCATTTGAAGTGACAGCTATTGCTCCTTCCTCCATGATCTGTATAGAATATGAAAGTGCAACTGCAACAAAATAATAGAGAAGCAGACATCATAACAAAACCATAGTATCAAGCAGTAAGTTCAAAACCATTTATAGTTGAACTAGCAACATTGAGTATTTACCACAAAGGGGCTCCTTCCATTTTCGTTCCTTTGTAAGCTCTTGGTACTTCTTTAGGAACAAATCATAGTAGCTTCAAGATTTAACCAGGCAATCAAATAATGGAGCAAAAATTTACCAGTAACTTAATAAAGATATGAACCTATAAGATGCATTACAGTATTAAAGCACATGTGTACAGAGGCATTTCTTTATGCCTAGTTCTTAGGTAGCTTCCATGTTCAACAAATTCAAATCCATGTCTCAACACTCACATGAAACCAGCCATTACTAGCAAACAGAAACACTATTATGGTTTATAACTTGCAAATCATCCATTAGTTTCAATATACCACATGAAAGAAGTAACAAATTTTATAAAAGCTATAATATTCTAACTGCAAATCCACCATTGTTGTAAATAAAGATAATGTGAAACTCTGAAGCAAGGATGCAACAACCCACCCTCCACTACGGCCTAAACGCCTTCCACATCTGTCAAATGCAAGCCCTAGAATAAAGATTGAAGTGAGACAACAATAAAAACTATACAACATAAATAATTATGAGCAGGGTTAAAAATATCACCAGGTACGATGAACAAGTCAACTGGATCCCTTGCCTCCATAACTGTAACAAATAGGTCCTTCAAATAATTAACCATCATTACCAACCAACGAAAAATGAACATAAATATCTAATACTTATAACTACTTTATTGAGGACATTATTATCCAAATTTATCACGGAAACAGCACAAATTTGTGGTCATCAACATGAATAACAAAAATTCCACCTGCCAGAAATAGGAGCAGGATTGAGATCACGAAATAGATAAGTCCAGTTTCACTAGATATTTTAAAACATTAAAGGAACTAATACTTCTTCTCCGAAATGTTTACTATGAAAGAACACATGGAATAAAATGGCAGACGACCCAAACCTAGGTTTCACTACACACAGAAATTCTGGTAGGCTTCGATTAAATTCAAATGCATTAATCCCACACTACTTTATGTTGCATACACTAGAAGAACACTGGGACAATAATCCCTTAAGAGGTAACTATTCAAAAAAAAAGTTATAACAATTGGATGTATAAACAGATTTTGAATATTTACTCGAGCCCGAGCAACTTATAGGTTAGAAAAAGGGTACCGTCTTCATGCTGCTTCCCATCAGAATCTGAAAGAGCTGGTTCCAAAATGTTCATTGAGTTCACAATCAAATCATCAACACTGGAAATCCTGAGCATTCTCATATTGCTATTCCTATCCTCTACACGAGGAACATAAAGCTTTTTCCTGTTCGGCACATCACTCTCTTGAATTCAAATAAATAATAAGCTGTAAGAATCTCCAAAAGTTTAAGAACAACAAATACAACAACACTGCACGAGAATATGAACTTAAAATGCTAACACGCACGCACCATTGGCTGGTTTGGATAAAATTTCTGAAACAATTCCTGTCGTATCGACCTCTCGTAAAGCAGGGGAGCTAATGTAAGCACATACACTCTTGCTAGATTTGAACCAGGGAGCATTTACAACAATGCTCTGAATTGCAGCATCTGAGAATCCACAGAAAGAAAAAGAATCACATTTTCATCTTCAATCAGACAAAAACACAAACACTTAGAGATCAAATTGAAACAATGCCTGTATGAGGAAGCTGGAACTCGAAAAGAGTACCTTCTTCGGATCTTCGAAGCGGGTCCATGTTTCTGAGCTCTTTGCGCATTCTGGACCGGAGCGAGCGCTTTTGCTGGAATAGAGCTTCGATTGGGTCTTCGTTCTGGTTCATGGTGGCGAAGGAGCGGTGAGATTGGGACGCAAGGCGTTCGTTAGCGGGGCGCGAGGTGAAAAGGAGAGGAGAAGCTAACGTGCGGGGCTGGGTGATGAGCGTCACTGCCTTCTTTGCACTGTTTATGAGCCCGCTCGCGCTTGCTCTACTGTGACTGAACATATTTCGCTGCTCGTGCTTTGCGGTTTTTTCGGTTGGAATTAGGCGCTCTTGGTTGCTTGCGCGCTTAGGCGCGGTTCGGGTCGGGACAGGATTTGGTTAAGGTCCCCAATCCAAGTGGACGGATGACGGCTGTAAGATTATAAAGATATTTGGGTTAATTGCATCAAATTCCCCAAAAGTCACGAAAAATATACACATAAAGTCATGTGTTACTCAGACCGTTAGTAACTCTGGTACCCTCTTATCACAGTTTAAAAATCGAGTACTGATTTAAAATGACTTCCAAAGTTTAAGGGGTTTTATGTAGTTAACTCAAGATATTTTAAATGTGGTTAATTATGAACTATCACCATGTTTTGTCAAGAAAACATCTTGACAAAACATGGTACACTTCAAGTTGCCCAGTTCCCAGCTTTTCGTAATATTTAATCTTTGTCTTATTCAATTTATAGATAAAGTCATCTTAACCCAACTAACCCAATCAAATTTTATAACTTTATACAAATCCAATCAACCATTTTTTTTTTTTTTTTTTTTTTTTTTTTTGTGTTAACCAAAAACAATAATAACTACAAATTTGTTGGGTATAAAATAATTATTTTGATTACACTTCAATTAAAAAACATGAAAGAACTTTAGAAAAACAAATAGAACGACACTGTAACTGGTCACAGTCTCATGGTGTTGTGGTTTTTTTTTTCTTTTCATTTTTTTTCACTTTTTTAAATTGATGTAATACTGAAAATTTTAAAATAATACTTTTATAATGAACAAACTTGTAATTTTTTAAAAAGAAACACTGTTTTTTTTTTATTTTTTGGGGATAAAAGAAACATTGATTGAGTTTACTTATAAAATAATTGAGTTCAAATAAAAACTTCCCAAAAAAATTTTAATCACTAAGGGCTCATTTGGTACACCGTATTACACTCTGGATATGAGTAAATAGTTCATGTTAGTATTTGGTGTCAACTTGTATTATTTAATTATCTTACTATTTCAAACAAGTTGGGCTTTTGATACACTCATTATCCGACTAACTAATATAACTCAAACACCCTAGTTTAGATAATACACGCTTAATTATATAGCTAGGGAAAAAGAACACATGTTCACATGAAAAATCTGATGACGCTATTTTCATATTCTTCTGCCTAGGGTTCTTCTTTGCTATCTTCTCCAAGGTTATTCTCTTCAATCCTCTCTCTCTCTCTCTCTCTCTCTCTCTCTCTCTCTTCTTATTCTTCTTCTTCTTCTTCTTCTTCTGTCTTCATCTTCTCTTTCTTTATATATTTCCTTTTTTATTAAATTTTTATGGAAATTAGGTTATGAATTTTTTACTTTTTTTCTTGATGTATTGGAACAATACATGCGACTGTGTATCCAACTCAATAATCAAATTATCAAATTATCACCATGCAGCTGTGTATCCAACTCAATACATGTTGCTGAGTTTTTTTTGCTTTTTTTTCTTTATATATTTCACATTCTCCAGATATCCAATTCAATAATCAAATTATCATCCCAAGTCAACGATTAGAACAATACATGCAGCTATGTTTTTCTTGTTATATTTTTTTTCTACTTTTGGTGCTTTGTTTGTTTGTTTTCTGGTTATATGAAAAGAAAAAAAAATCTAGGCAAAAAAAATTGAAATTCAAATCTTTATTCGATGTTATCCGGAACAGCACGAAATACAATATAGTTTAGTCATACTATTTATCCGGAACAGCACCAAACGCCTTATAATATTATGGATAAATAGTCAACACTCTCCGGAACATATTAATACTATCTGACAGAAATTAGTCAATACAGTCCAAAGTACCAAACGAGCCCTAAATGGACTAGAGTTAAAAATTGATTAAAATTGATCTACTGTACTATCCAACGTGGTTCCAAATCTTTTGTACATAAAATGAAATTGCAATCTAATAAGCAGCTTATTTATGCAATTACTATCTCACTGTTTCGTAATTGCAGAAGTAAGGGTGGACCTTTGAGAAGAAGATTTCATTCATAAGCCAAAATGACATACAAAGACTGACATGATACAATAGCCTCATTAAAACCTTCCTAAAAAAACCATTTGGGACAAACCCAATGGTGGGAAAGAATACCACACATGCCAACGACTAACAAGAGAGTCCAACCCATATCACAAAAGACCATTACAAGAATAGAAAAAACTAACTAAACACCAACACAAAAGACTCACAAAGAGAACCACATCGTATCCCAACTGTCAAAAGAAGCCGTCTATGAGAAAAACTAATAGTCCTTTGACTGCTCACAAACTGCAAAACCAAACCAAGGGTAGAAACCCAAGAGAGCACATGGAGGAAGATCACAAAAATGATAACAAGAGAGGCCCCTAAAAAGCACTCCAACTCAACTCAGAACCTGACAAAGAAACTCCACAATGTAAAACTATCAAAGAAAACCTCCTATGCACACATAGTTCTTTGTACAATGCATAACAATGAGCGTTAGAGCATAGCCAGCAAAAGCACCAAAATCATCTCTTTATTTTTTAATCCATACCCTTAACCAATAAGGCAGGGGGGACCAAGATTGGTCACTTAGCATGACAAACTTTCAACATAAGATCATCATAGTAAGAACGTTTATTGGATACCAAGCCCACAAAAGTTCCAACGAACACATCAAGGAGACCAGGGTGACCCCTGTAAGCTAGTCTCTGTCACCTTTGCAACACAGGCTTCGAGGCAAATTTTACTCTCACTAGAAGAATCCATGATAACACCCCTCAAATCCGCGAACCCCGTCACAGAAAACCCAAACAAAGAGATAGCACCCAACAGCCCTAACCACCGAAACATGTCCTCCCGCAACCTTCTTGTCCAAGTACCGGAACTGCTGATTGCCACTGAAGACCTTAGGCATACCCGACCTCCTCTCATATAGTACCATAGAGAAAATAAAACCTAAAACAACATAACCTAGCCAACACGTGTGATTCTCCTCGCCAGCGAACCAAAACCACCGCTAGGAAAATCTTAGCAAGACGAGATACGAAAGGGGAGGAAGAGGCACCGAAAACCACTGGCGAGATATGAGACCAATGCTTGGAGTCCGATGGAGGTTACGGCTCCGCAACTTGAGAAAAAACCCTAACCCTAAAGAATATCGTTCGACTTTTCTTGCATGGTGCAAGAAAGATGGCGACCAAACCAGGCAACACCACCACCAATCACAGAAAAACCAACCATCACAGGAAAAAGTCACACCACCCCAACCCAAATCTGACTAGAGATCCCCAAAAACACACAACCAGCAGAAAAATCACCTGATTCAAAAACCCCAGCACCCCAAATCACCACTGTAGCCCACCACTCCTAGACGACACTGCAGGGACCAGCCATCACAGTAGCGAAACCACCACATGATCCATATCAAAATCTCGGAGATAAGAGCGACAAAGAGGCACATCGACGACGAAACCTAACCCTAGATTTTCACGTACTGGCCCTCCTCACATAGGAGAGAAAAGCAAGGGTGGACCTTGCATAAGTAAATATGGTCTTTATTCTTGTAAACACAAGGGTTTACAATATTAAAAACTCATTTTACAATGTTTTGGACCTTAACGTTCCATAAACTTGTAAAATGTATCCACAATCTTGTAATACTATAATTTACAATAGAAAAGATCCCCAATATGAGGTTAAGGAAAGAGTGGACATTGGAGAAGTAAAGGTGGTCGTTATTGTTGCAGGAGCAAAGGGGGTGGAGCAAGTCATATATTACCATTTAATTTGTTATTTCATGAGATATTATTATTTTCTTATTTATGTAATTTTAGGATGTCTTTTATTATTTATGTGTGATTTTATAATTAATTAGTTTACTTTTGGACCAAGTAGCCTTGGTGCCCAAGTCCTGTAAAGCCTATAAATAATACTAATGTAATAGTTGCAAAGAAGTTTTATGTTGATAATTAATGAAATAGTTTATTTGTGGCATGGATTTGCTACAATATATGTGAGTTTGCACTAATCCTAGATTTTGGTGCTCGTATGTTGTTGGTGGCCTATGTCCTAACCCTCATCCCCATCAATTGGTATTAGAGCTATGGCTCAAGATCCATGTTCTGGTGGAGGATTTTTTATGGAGGGTCGTGTCGACAACTACAACGACATGGAGGAAATTATGAGGGTTCTACGGCAACTTATAGAACACATTGCTTGCATCAAAGCTCGAACCCAGTAGGTAAGAGTTCTGACGGGGAGGGATGTGTAAACCCTTTTCTGAACCGAGTGGCTTGCATCGACACTCTAAGACGTGGGATTCTCGACAGGGAGTATGAGGGAGATAGCTATTTTCATTGTTTCGCTCTGTTGTGTGAATCAAGTGAAGAGGGGTATGGTGATTCTCATTGTGTTTTTGAAGGTACAAATGGATTTAGTAATTTTGGTGCATCCTTTTCTTTGTCTAAGTTATTAAATTTAGACTTGCCTCCAATATTTGATCCTTGCAACTGTGAATTGCAATGAAAATTGTTTGGGCAGTGAGAATCAATGAGAGATAATGATGCATTAAGTATGGAGAATTGGAAGGGAACATTCCATGCTTTTCCCATATTCTTAAAACTCCAACAATCGAAGAAAATTTCCGAAGATATTATTGCTTTTATGGGCCTCAATGTTTTCACTTGGGAGGTTGCTAAGAATCTGGTTGATTTTGTCAGTCTGTTGACGATTCTAGGGAGAAACATTTGCATTGTTAGAGGGAGTAAGAAGAAGCCTAGAATAACTAATATTCTAAATATCTTTTCATTTGGGAAGGAAGTTTTCAATTGGGTGCTAAAAGATCCATGTAATATGAAACAATTGAATATTCTATTTGGATTTTCCTCAATCAATGGCTTGAATTCGTGAACGAATTCTTTCCAACCAGGGAAGTCTAATGCAAGAGTAAATGGGGTGGATCAAGACAAATATTACCATTTAATTTTTTATTTCATGGGATATAATTATTTTCTTATTTAGGTAATTTTATGATATCTTTTATTATTTATGTGTGATTTTATAATTAATTAGTTTACTTTTGGACCAAGTAGCCTTGGTGCCCAAGTCTTGTAAAACCTATAAATAATACTAATGTAATAGTTATAAAGAAGTTTTATGTTTGATGATTAATGAAATAGTTTATTTGTGGCATGGATTTACTGCAATACATGTGAGTTGCACTAGCCCTAGATTTCGGTGCTCGTATGTGTTGTTTAGCGTGTCCATAATGTTGTAATACTATAATTTACAATAAAAAGGATCCTCATTACGAGGTTAAGGCAAGTTGGACCTTGGAGAAGTAAATGTGGTTGTTATTCTTGTAAATACAAAGTTTTACAACATTAAGAACTAGTTCTACAACATTTTGGACGTAAGCATTCCATAACCTTGTAAAGTGGATTCATAATCTTGTAGATTACAATATTTCATTCCTATTTATAAGGTTTTGCAACCTGATTACAAATTTAAGGTTCTTTCTAATCCATAATCTTGTAATGCTCTAATTTACAATAAAAAGGATACATATTACAAGTTAATGGAACATTGAGGTCCAAAATATAGTAAAATGGGTCCTTAATATTGTAGACTCTTGTGTTTACAAGAATAAGGACCGCATTTGTTTCTCCAATATCCACATTTACCTTAACATTATAAGGGGGATCCTTTCTATTGTAAATTAAGGTATTACAAGATTATGCATTAGGATGAAACCTTAAAGTTGTAATCATGGTGCACAAAATCATAAATGAGAACCCAACTCTTGTAATCTACGAGATTAAGGATCTACTTTACAAATTTATGGAACTCTTACATCCAAACTTTTGTAGTACAAGTTTTAAATGTCGTAAACTATTGCATTTACAAGAATAAAGACCAATTTTACATCTCCAAGGTCCACCATACCTTAACTTAGAGATCATTTCTATTGTAATTCATAATATTGCAAGTTTATGGATACATTTTACAAGTTTATGGAATGCTGAGGTCCAAAAAATTGTAAAAGGGCTCCTTAATACTGTAAACCCTTGTGTTTACAAGAATAAGGACCGCATTTATATCTCTAAGGCCTACCCTTACCTTAACGTTGTAAAAGGGATCATTTATACTATAAATTAGGGTATTACAAGATTATGGATTAAGAAGAACCCTAAAGTTGTAATCATGATGCAAAAACTTATAAATGAGAAACCCAAATATTGTAATCTACGATATTAAGGATCTATTGTACAAGTTTATGGAATACTTATGTCCAAACCATTGTAATATGAGTAAATAATGTTGTAAACCGTTGAATTTACAAGAACAAGGACTAGTGTTACAATATTTTGGGACTGAGAGTTCCATAACATTGTAAAGTTGATCCCTAATCTTGAAAAAACAAGGGTTTACAAGATTAAGGACTCATGTTACAATGTTTGGGACCTGAGAGTTCCATAACATTGTAAACTCTATCCATTATCTTGTAAAACCAAGGGTTTACAACATTAATGACTCATGTTACAGCATTTGGGACATGAGGGTTCCCAAACCTTGTAAATCTTATCCCTAATCTTGTAAAAACATGAGTTTACAACATTAAGGACTCATATTATAGTTTTTGGGACATGATCGTTCCATATCATTGTAACATTTATCCCTAGTCTTGTAGATTACAATATTTGGGTTTGAATGTATGAGATTTGACATCATTATTACAACTTTAAGGTTCACTTTTATCCATAATATTATAATAGCCTAATTTACAATGAAAAGGATCTCAGTTACTATATTAAGGTATTGTTGGACTTTTTTTTAGAAGAGAAATTCCATTAGTATTCAAAGAACATGTACCTACAAAACGAAGCTTCATTAAAACCTTGCAGGTAAAACCACATGGGAAACCCTGGGGAGGAAAAAGAGTGCCACACATGCATTAGACTACAAGAGAGTCAAAGAACAAAGACCAAAAACGAAATAACATAGAGCACAACTACAAGCTCAACAAATAACATCAACTACAACATAAAACTGTCAAAGAACGACTTTTATGCTTGCATAGTTCTTTGTACAATGTCGAAAACCTATCATAAGCATCAGAGACATAACAAGCAGAAGCACCAAACGATATCTTCCCCAAATTCAAACAAAACAAAGCACAACTTCAAGCCTAAAAAAAAGCATCCCAGCATAATGTAATATTTTCAAAGAAAACCTCCTATGCACACATAGTTCTTTGTACAAGGCATAATAATAAGCATCAGAGCAAAGCCAGCCAAAGCACCAAAACCATCTCCTTATCTCATAATCCAGACTCCTAACTGACAAGTTAGGGGGGATCAAGATTGGCCTCTTAGCGTGACGAACTTTCAACATAAGATCATCATAGTAGGAACTTTTATCGGATGTCAAGCCCACAAACATTCCAGAGAACACATCATGAGACCTGGGAGACCCTCTAGGTTGGTCTCCGTCACCTTATCAACCAAATCTGCTATGCAAATTCTACACTCACCAAAAGAATTCATAAGCATAGGGTGTCTTTTAAAAGATTGCTCAAGATCATCAAGGGCTCGACAACCACCCGGATCTGTGGTCCCTGTCACAGAGAAATCAAACAGAACCGTAGATAGGGGTATAAAGATGGCACCTCATATCCCAAGCAGCCAAAAGTCTTACCCAACCCCAAGGAAAGGAAGATCAAAACCAAAGGGATGACATTGTAGTAGGTCCATACAACCCAATAAAAATTCAACCGCCAACCTCTGCTAGACCCAAGTTAGCACCACCAACAACTCCCAACACAAGAGAGCAAACTCCACAAATACCAGAACAAATTGTAAAGCCCGCATAAGAAAACCCCAATAACGAAGGAGACCATACAAAGAGTTAACGTTGCACTGAGAGGAGACCCCACAACCATTGCACCGTGAAAATCGTACCCACAACAAAACCAAACGAAACCAGAAACGTCATGCGACGATGGGCTACGCCCTCTCTCTACGCCCTCTCTGTGCGACAATGAAAAGTAGGGATCAACACTCCTTATTTCGATAAGGTCGTGACAGTGGCAGACCGAAGAAGGAAGAAGAAAAACCTAAACCCTAATGTTTTCGCTCGGCTCTCCTTGCATGTGAGAGAGCATCCTTGTCTTCTCGTTTAGCAAATTCCTTCAAATTCAATTTATTTATTTTTTTAATTCTTGGACCTTGAAGATGTAAAATTTGGTCCTTATTCTTGTAAAAACTAAAGTTTACAACAATAAGAACTCATTACACTATTTTGGACATGAAAATTCCATAAACTTGTAAATTGTATCCATAAACTCGTAGATTACAAGCTATGGGTTCTCATTTACAAGATTTCACATCTTCATTACAACACTAAGGTTTACCCTAATACATAATGTTGTAATAGCCTAATTTACAATGAAAATTATTTCAATTTCTATGATTTTGAGTTAAACTATTAGTTTTAATTCGTTTTGTGAGTAAACCTAGGAACAATTTGGAGCTCAAATGACAGAGGTAGTTTAGCAATTGCCACTTAGGCAGTCGGTTTTCGCAAATTGAAAGTGCAATTACGTGGTTCATGTTTGTCGATTGCCAACTTGACATGGCTGAGCGAAAACAAAATAGACAATTTCACTAACTTATAACAAAAAAACAATGAAACTTAAGTAGCTTTATATAAATCCAAATAGCCAAACTGAAATTGTTTTTGTTAACTTGTAACAAAAAACAATATAAAAAAAATTTGTATTTGCATACTAACAATGCAAAGGTTGTTCCTTAAATTGGCAATTGCATATTGGGATTCCAAACGCTTCCACACTGTTCGGTAATTGCATACAACAAGTAGTGAGTATGATATAAGTCTAACTTATCATCTATCAAATCCTCATGTATGTAGCAATATGGTGTATCCAAGTCCTCAAGATTTGCTCATGTCATTTTGTCTCAATTTAAGGGTTTATATCCTTTGGTGATTGTAGAATTTTCCATGGTTATTGAAAATTGACACATGACTTCAATAATAAAAACCTTTGTATATGTGAATTTTGTCTCTAAGCTGCCCCCTTAGTGCCCGCTGAGACTTGTTTTCTTGAATTTTATTTTTCTATTTGAATAGAAATCTTCCTTCCTAATATCTAATATAAAAAGTGGACGGTAAATTTTTGTAATTTCTCACACTAGCTACAAGTGTGGACACAACCCTAATCATCATATTTCCACTAATTTTTGTTTTCCACAATCTATTATTTGGTTCAATTTTACGAAAAAAGAGCGTTTGCGTTAATTTGGTCAATGTAGTATGGATTAGAGCACTTCCACCCATTTGTCATAGTAAACGGTAAGGACAAGGTAAGGGATGTTACTATTCATGTGAATAGTGGCAGCCCTATTGTCATGGCAACACAAGGGCAACCACTATTCACATGAGATATGAAGAGATGAATTTGTATAAAGTTTTTGTGTGGGAAGTGAAGAATATGGCTAGGCATTTAATAATAAAAAATTTGATGTTTTTTAGATTTTTTTTTTATAAAAAATTTTGTTGCTAACATCAGTAGCCCCCAGGCACAAGCTCGGGCTCGTTTTGCCTTTGGGCTTGCCCGGTTTGCTGGGACCCACCTCTTGCCCTAGCTACAAAAGCCTGTTGGAAGCGCGATATGGGGCTTTGGCCCCCTCCTGCCCAAGCCAAACGGCAATGGTGAAAGTGCTCTTAGAGTTGCTATCGGTATGAATTTTACCAATTCAATTGATTTCAAATTGACTAGTTTTATTGGTTTGGTAACCATTTTTAAAAATAAAAATTGAAAAGAAAAAGCAAACATTTGGTTTAATTATTGGTAACGATTTTAAAAATAAGAAGATTCAGTATTTATTTTGGAAAAGTTAAGTCCGAAACAAATCTACATAATATCAAGCTCGGTCCATACATAAATGCTAAAAGACAAGTAAACCTATATTAGTCAAGATTTTGAGGGAGAAATGAAAAAAAATTCGAAGGATGAAATTTTTTTTTCTTTATGCATTTTTTTTTGGTAACTCTCATGTTCTTTTTTTCCTTTATTTATTTTTCAAGACTTTATGAAAAATATATTATAAAGTACTTTGCACATGTTACGCATTCATTATCTATTATTGACAATTACTCAAATAATATAATATAAGTATGTGTGAAATCATTTATTAAAAAAAGTAAATAGGCGTGATATTATTCACAATTTTACATATAATACATAATCATTGCTAGCTTGCAACATAGTCACCTTAAATTTCTCAAACTCACTATGCACTATATTTTATTCATTTCTTTTTCTTTTTCTTTTTGTCAAAAGAATATATAATTAACTAAATGAACATCTTTTAAAATTTCAATAAAAATTTCATGGTTTTTATCACAATTTTTGTTGTTTTTATTTTGTTTTGTCGATAATTTGACAAATATTACATTCCTCACCGAAAGGCATTTTTCGTATATAAAAAAATTTATATTAGGATGAGTGTGCATAGCTGAGTAAATGTTATTACTTTATTTACTTATATTGGATTCATTGTCAAATACAATACAAGTTGATATTCAAAGAACTTAGTGTGAAAATAGTTCAACCTAATTAGTGGATTAAAATAATTCAAAGTTAAACCTGCAAGTGCACGTATTAAACAATAATATAGGGTGCAAGTAAAGGTTCGTTCCCAGAAATAAATAACTTAAACTAATGAAACTCCTACAATACGATAATTGTAGGTTACCTTAGGGTTATGGCAATTGTAGGTTCCATTAGGGTTACATAATGTGTGGGTTACATTAGGATTATGGAATGTATAGCTTACATTAGAGTTACAATAATTATAGGTTACATTAAGATTATGGTAATTGTATGTTATATTAAGATAAGTACAGAAGAATGATTATACTAGATTGTAGATAGAGTTCATTCACCGGCTTATCATTCTAGATTGTAATAACCAATGGAATAATGGTTTAAGACCATTCATTTTCAGTATAGCCATTTGTATTTTATTTTTTAGTATAGCATTGCCTAAAAGAACAAGTGTCACAACACACACAAAGAAGGCCATGTTTTTCGTTTCCGTTGCATCTCTTGATGTGCTCAATTCTATACTAGTATCGCATTTATTTTCAGTATAGCATTGTGATTTAGGGAAAGGAGATTAAAAATAAAATAAATATATAAAAAAATCTATTTGGATCCTATATGCTATTACAGATTAAAAAAATTAAACTTAAGACTCGTTTGGGAGTGCTTATTCCTAAAGAGCTTATGCCAGTAGCGCTTCTACAAAGAATCAGTTTGTTGTTTGAATGTCACATTTAAAAGTGTTTTTACACTACATAAAAGTATTTTTGATATTTTGTTGAGTGTTTGGCTGACACAATAAAAGCGCTTTTAAAAGTACTTTAAAAAAATCAGACTGAGATCTCTAATGGTACATGCAACTTCAAAATTTTGAAAAAACCAATAAACAAACGATTTGCACTACATGCTCAATCTCTTGATTGCAGCAAATCAATTTAGGCACAGATAAGAAGCTCAATCTACAGCGATTACAAATTACAATATGGGGAGGGGGTTCAAAGACAACCTGGGATTTCGATTCTAGGTGCTAAGCAAGGGGAGAAAAGAGGAGAAAAGTGGAGAAAAGCATATATGTACTATATGCTCAACACTCTCGAGAGTGAATAAATTTAAACAAGATAGTTGATAAGCCTCCCTTTTGTAAGAGCTGTTGACGTGTTAATTAAAGAATCTTGCACGAGAAAAATGAATGGATCGGAAATGACCCCTCTCTCTCTCTCTCTCTGATAGTTTTTTTAAGCATGCTTGTTTAGTGAGGGTTGGAATATATAGCATGGCACGTAGTGCATGAATGCAATGCAAAAGCACAGAATAAATATCGCTTGGAGGGCCCTTAATTTGTTGCCAATTATACATGCTGATTTTAATTTATATTCGAGCCTTAAACATATCGAATAAGTAGGAACATTTCACTATGTTGTCGTGTACGAATCCATAAACGATGAGATTTATATGAATATGACATGCTAGCTAGCAGCCCTAAGTACATACAGCTATAAGCCAACCACATTTAAGTCCACCACTATCTCTATGATATATATTCTCGAGAGTATATATAGGGATGGAATGAAACTACGTAGAAAAGATTGATTGACAGAATCTCATACATCTTTTATATATATATGTATATAATTTAAGGTTTCAACCTTAATTAGCTAGATGGGTTTAGGTTTAGGTTTTGCAATATATAATTTTCCATTTAACCATCAAGTTGACTAATTTTGGCTCCATCAACTTTCCTAATTTGATCACAAACCCACCAATAACAATTATATTCAAATCTTGGGTAATCTAATTTTTCTTGATGATCTCGATTTGCGATATATACAGCAGCCGTAAAGATTATGCGTTGCATCCCATTGGGTGGGAAGAACAAGACTACTTTTTTGCATTATTGGTGGATATGGTTTTCAACTGGACTGTTTTGTACCAAAGGGATAAGCCAATTTAGAATGGATTCCATATCCCAATTCCCGAGCGACAGATTTATATCGAAATTAATTATAAGGACGATACCTCTCATGTTTCTTTTTCCTTATATATTCTTTATTGGACCATTCCACAATCTAGATTTGTCTCTAATATATTATGCAAAGCAGCCAACTGCCAAGGAATGTGTGTATATATATAAGCCGCCATTCAACTGATCAAGACAAAACAACCCTACGGAATTGTGGCACCTTTTGATATAGGATTTTAGATACAAATGAATAAATTATTATATGTGATGGTAGTCCACATCTTACTTTACGGAAAAAAAATATTTGGCATCGTACATCATATATAATGTGTTCTTCCTTTGTTGTATACGAATTTCAGTTCAGTCTGACACGTGTGTATAAAAAGTTTCTTACTTTTAATTAGTCATTTCTGTGTATTACATGTTGACATCCCATATTCTTGTACATCATTAGCTAGCTTAGTTTGGTTCTGCTTGATATTGAAGGATTTATTTTGATTTGTTGTAGTGTCTTTGTATTCTCGTGTCAACATCATCTATAGTACTATATGATATTTGGAAGCTTGGCCTGTGCAATATTATAGTGCCTGCACCAGCATGAAGCAAAAAAGAAAATGGAAGCTATATATATAAAGAGAGTAGAAGTATATAAAAGGATTAACCTTTGGCTTTAGCTGGTTAGTTTATGTAGCTTTATTTACCTTCAACAAGAAGCTAATACAGTGATGATGAGAAGCATTTGATTCGCTTCCAACAAGAATTTTTAGTGTTTCTATTGTTCTCCTGTTAGATTCATATAGAATGGATAAGACAAAATGTGCGAAATGCGAATGCCTTTGGCCTTGTGGAGTGGAGAGAGAGAGAGAGAGAGAGAGAGAGAGAGAGAGAGAGAGAGAGTGAGGCCCTGCTCTATATATATATATATATATATATATATATTCTCCCTAATCAAAACCACCTCTTGCAAAGAACCAGCTTCTATATGTGTGCAGTCTATTCAGAGTTCATGTTCATGGACAATCATGTTATAAAATCCTTCTTCTATATATATATATATATATATATATAGATACATACATATATATATATATATATATATTCCCAAAGGATCGTGTGCTGAAATTCCAAGGGAAAGGTTGCAGGATATTTAACCTATTAAATTAGCAAGAGTCCCCAACTAAAGAGTGGTTCAAGTTATCAAGCATAATTTTGTGGACCATGCCTGGCCGGAATTTTAAAGTACATAATAATATTATTGAATTGATCAACTCTGAACTCTATAGTTATGTTTTGGGAGTACTGGATTCTTCGAGGAGTCTTAATGGCAACTTTTTTATAAATTAAAAAAAAATTATCAAGATAAACTTCAATAGTATAATGAAAGACATCAACATGACGTCTAAAGTACCAATCTGAATAGGGCAATAAACTAACATGTTAAAAACTAAACTAAAACGGACAAAAGCTGTACTAAAACCATTAAGCCACATCACCACAATTAACCACAAGTCCAAACAAAATCCACAAATCCAACATGACCGAAACCTTAAAGCAACCAAAAAGGAGACATTAAATCAACAGAAAGAAAGAGAGTACAAGGGACGAAAGGCCATTCCATTAACAGTGCAGTGGACATGGATAAAACCTTCACCAGAGTTGTTAATTTGGATCATATACATTCACAATATCTGATTAGCATAAAAACATTTCCCAAAATATTATATCAATACTAATTAATTGAACATACACAAATTTTCCCTTGGGGTAATTATTTTTGTTATAATCCACATTATGGTATTATACTTTTTAATTATGAAAAAGTAAGGTATGCGACCGAACTGTTAATTACGGTTAACCGAGTTTTACCAACTTTAAATATGAGTTATGACAGCTTCAATTCTGAGTTCAAATGCCCAAAAAATTTCCAGTTCAATGAGTGACTGGTTCTTGTTTTCACTTGACTTTAACCTTTGAATCTATCTTTTTGTACACAATTAAAGATTTCATTTTGAATTTCATTTTAAAAATCAATCATACTGTAATGTTGTTTCGCGTGACAAGAATATATGTTTAACCACCTAATTACAAACCCTACGTTATTCGTTTGCTCTCTTTAATTATAAATAATCCAATTCCAATGAGCTCACTCCACCTGGATGGCCCCACGTTTAGATGTAAATGCATTATATATTAGTTTTATTCTACCTATATATGCCCTTTTATGGAGATTATGGACCAAGAGACATGGAGATTTGATGTCACAGTGGGCAACCCCAATATCCCTTTTTAGGTTTTTGCTTTCATCCTGTTGTACGTAAGGGATGGTCTTTTGGCATCGTAGAGATGCATGAAAATACACAAACCAAAGCAAAGCAAAAGAAGAGTGTCGTATCGGGACCTTCTCAGTCAGTATAAAGCAAAGTTGTTCTCTCCCCATGTCACGTTCCAAACCAGCTAAGCCCCTCTCTCTCTTTCTTTCTTTCTCTCTTTCTCTCTCTCAACGTTCGAGAAAGTGCAACATAAACCCTCAATCCTATAAAGATAACCAACCACCCCAACCCCATGAAGTAAAAATTAAACTGCCCCCTCCGCCCAAAGAAAAAGAAACTTCTCCTCAAGTTCTCCCTTCTCTTACTTTCTTCTTTCCTTAACCTCTTGCATCTAGACACTCTATTATTTCACCACAATCATCAAGCAGTGATGATTTTTATCTCCTTCTTCTAATTTTCCCTTCATCCATGCATGCCCTAGCTAAAAGGAATCTTTCTTATAGCTAGTATATATATATTGGAATAAAGAGGAACAAAAAAATTAATATGGCTAGTAGTGGTGGTGTTTCTTGCTTTTTAAAGCTATTCTTTGGAACGCTTGCAGTGATGGGGTTTATTTGTGTTTTGTTAGTTGGTACCCTAGAAACTCAAGGAGGGTCGACTAAAACAGCAACCTCAACGGCGGCAGCGCCAGAGTCGTTTTCAGAAAAGCCTGCGGATGTGGTGGGAAGAGAGAACAAGCTTGTTCATCCAGAGTTGGATCTCAACTATATGAGTAAAAGAAGAGTCCCCAATGGACCAGATCCTATTCACAACAGGTTGGTTTTGCATAGCTAGCATCGTTCTTCAATTTTTTGTTGTAATTAATTAGTATTTTTTTTATAATAGCTTTTTATGAGTTGTGATAACCAACATAATTAGAAGGAAAAAAAAAAAAAATATATATATATATATATATATATATAGGATTGAGTGCATATATACTCCGTCTCTCTCACATTTCTCTATCATATAATAGAATGATTGTGAGAAGAGACGTATATACCTTTTTTCACGTGGAGTACTTGACTTGCCTGTAATAAAATAAGGGTAATTAGAACATGATCTTTTTTTGTTCTCTTCGATCTTTCTTGTAAAATAACACTACAGAGATGCTAACTACATTCTATATGTATCAATGTATTCTATCGTCTAAAAGAAACTTTCTTAGATAGACTTGTTCTAAATGATACATCATATATATATATATATATATATATATGTCATGTGTCCTTTATCCTTTTATTTTCTCGTCATAAAATTTGAATAATATATTATGTAACTATACATACATCTGTGAAGTCGACTCGATCGAGCATATGCACCCAAAAGAAAGAAAAAGATAACTATTATGTGCTCTATGCTTTAACTGTTACATTGATTTGCTTCATCAGTAAAAGCACGGTTACGTACAGTTTTTAATCCCCATTTACTCACTCCAAGAAAAGAAAAATAAAGTACACCACTTCACTTTATTCCATTCCTTAATGATGTTTTATAAAAGCTAATTAACATTTTCACTTGTTCTCTACATTTAACCTACCTTCTACCTTTACATTGTGTCTTTTCTTTCCCCTCTCCTTTTTTTGCCTTTCCTTTATTAGGAGTTGTATTAGTGAGAGCTGCTATGCAAATTACCTTATTAGGCTTTAATTATTCTCAATAATTTTTTCATGTATATATAATAGGAGAGCCGGGAACTCGGGACGGCCCCCTGGTCAAGCTTAGCCATTAAAGTGCTTCAAGAAGCTTCAGAAGGAAGGCAGAAGAAGATGGTGCACAGGATAGAAAATACATATGTCTGCCCTTAGGCTTATGTATGTACGTGTTTTTTTTAGAAAAATATTTGGAAATCCCAGCTGTATGCATATGTGCAAGCTTCTTTTTCAGTGACAGAAATGGCTTTGGGAGGTGTTCGGGGAAATGAAGATTGTCACTCACACAAAATTACGTACGCTCTCAAAAGAATCTAGACAGAAAAAAAAATTACTCTGCTTTTTTTTTTTTTTTTTTTTTGTGTGAGAGAGAGAAGAGAGAGAGACCAAATTCTTAGTAGATAGAGAGATATCAATGTCTTTGCATGTAAAAAAGCCAATTATATTTATATATATGGAGCATAAAGGTTTGGCATGTACAAGATTCTCAAATCTATATTAGTTTAATTTATCAAGAAAAAATTTAAAATTTAAATAGAATTCCAAAAACTAAAGTGAATCCCACCAATTAAAGGTGAAAATAAAGGTGCTAATAATATTGCATCTTGTATATGTGTAAAGTCTTTTTTGACCTTTGATTCTTTGGTGAATTGCTGGGACGTACGAACTGTTTTGGTCTTTGGTCCATTCAAACTTAGTTGCATATCAGCAGAATCTTTTGGTCTCGTGGCCGAAACAGAAAACAAAAGAAAAGAAGAGAGATTAAAGGAAAGGAAAAAAAGAAGGAACTATACGGTCTTCAATCTCTTCAAAGTGAAGCTTTTTATCCTCCTTTCTCTTTTCTGTTTTGTTTTTCAAATGAGAAGCAAAGAGGCCAAAGACCGAGTCTAAAGGGAGATGTGTTCAAAATGGGGCAATTTCCAAAAAAGGAAAAAGAAAAAAAAAGAACTTGGAAGTGGTGCTCTTTCTAGCATGCGAGAGTAGTCAGACTAAGGTATAGCTTAAGAAGATGAGAATATATCACCAACTACCTCTTTATTTAGTGTAGGTATTTTTCAAAGTTGGAAGTAATCGCAAGTTCAAATTTGTCTTCTTCATTAATGAAAGAAATTAAAAGAAGGGAATGTCACATTAACTCAAATACTCTAGAAAATAATCCACTTATTTTATTACTTCTAAATATAATCCAAATTTGAATAGAATGCCAAAATGTTAATGTATAATGACTTATTTACAAATCATGCCATCAACCTCTTTTTGTTGCTGGATGTTTTTCCCTAAACAAATCCCTTAATTTTAGCATTCAAATCATTGGGGACTTTGGCTGGGCATTCAAATTCAACATTGTTTCAATTTGTTTTTGAGTGCTGCTAAATGTTTGAGCAAAATTCTCACGAGAGAATATTCGCGTATGATTCTTCTACTCTTTAAGTTTCTTTCTCTTTTTTCTTCCTTGGTTCCTGTAAAAAAAATCTAGGTCAACGGACCACACTCGGAGGATGTTGGTCAAATGCCCTTCGATGCCTAAGTCAATTAAATGATCTTAAGAAAGATGTGGAGATAACATAAATGTCTGAGTTTTCTCACATGGGGAGAGTTGGGCAGCCTTAGCCGTGTGTGGTGACCGAAGTCGAGAGAGTGAGAGAGAGAGAGAGAGAGAGAGAGAGAGAGAGGAGAGAGAGAGAGTGAGAGTGATTTCTCTAGGATTTCATAATTAGGGTTTAGCCATGTATTTATAGTCTCCTACTTGGCTAGGGTTTGAAGAATAATCTTTATTTAATTAGGATTATTCTTACCCAAAAAGATGATAGGAATTAATCAAAGAGATTTGCTGGAAATTGGTTACTTGATTTAGGGAGATACTTCTATTTTAAATCAAAGATAATTTCCTAATTAAATAGGATTTAATTGGGGTAATTAGTTGACCAAAGGAATATTCTTTTTTCCACGTATCATCTTCTTATTGGTTGCTGAAATATATGTTCCTACACTAAACGAACCCTAAAATTAACTGAGTACACGCTATGATTTAAGTACACCCTAATATTTAAATCAAAATGTAAAATTAACTGAGTACGCCATATTTAACTACCAAAAATACCCCTAGTATACCCTAATACACTCTATCACACAACACCTTAATATCAATCTAGATTTCTTTTTTTACATGAATTCGTAAGCTGCATCAAAATCTTTAATTTCGTAAGGTGCTGTGGGAGTAGATTTGCTAGCTCATTCAATTCAAAGCTTGATTCTTGTACATCCTTGTGATTTTCTTTATTTATTTTTTATTTTTGAATTGAACTTGTTGCCCTCCAAACCAACCCATCCTCCTCAAAATCCCATATAAATAGAGAAAACCCACCTCCAAAATCCTGAAATTGAAACCAACCCATCTCCACCAAAACCCTATACAAATGCCAAAGGACACAATTTGCCCCTAAATCATGTAATTAAGGGCTTCCTCTTAGCCATTGTGATTGGTGTCCTTAGTTACAGTTAGCACATCCACCCAAAGCTCGTCTTCATTGCTTGTACATATACCTTCTTCTAGAAATCTAACTAATCATTGTAGCAACCCTCGCTTGGAGCCTTTTGGGTTTAGATATCAAATCCCATTTCAACGAGGCATACCTTTCCACTTCTCTACAAAACTTCTAGGGCAGAAGATGGAACCTCGTGGTCGCCTATATCTTATGCTCATCCGTATACGAACCCAAAAGGCCAGGAGAAGAAAGATGTCAATTTTTAAGAAGGGTGGTGAGGGTACATAATGGGATAACGGGTTAAAGTGGTGAGTAAAAATGCTCCTTTGATTAGGGTTGAATTTCGTGAGTGGGTGTATTTATTAAAATTATATTTGTTTCACAATTCAATATTGTTGTAAATGCATGAGTTGGTGGATGACCACCATACCTCTTAGTATTCCACAGTTGGATTTTATGTAACCTACGCACTAAGTATTTGTAATTAGTGCTTGTAACCTATAGGTATATTGTAAATGATGGTATTCAATCTCCTATCTTATAAGCCTATAAATTTGTGGTTCTACCAAAGATTTAGAGAAGAATAAACATGGTGAAACTTTATCTCCAGCATATCACTTCTCTCTATATTTTCTCCCTCTAGTTTTATAACACGTTATCAACATGACATTGCTCTTGGTATGTTTTCTTTCTCTGAATTTTCATTCTTCTTATATGCGCTAGAGTCATTACATGGTATAGAGTTTCTTTGTACTCACCATCAAACTTCATCATGCTCGTTTAAGGAAAAAAAAATTATTATTCTTATTACACATGAATATAATGCCATGTTTTTTTATTTGTTTGTTTATTTAATTTTAAGTATGATTTTAATTATTATGATGAGTTTGTATTATACAAAAGATCAAGGCCCAAAGTTCCTCGATCTTTATCATATAACTAGATTAGGACCTAGAGTTCTTTTGATTGAATCAGAACCTGAAGTTCTTTGATTCCAAATAATTGCGGGTGTGAAGTTCCGCGAATTTAAAGAGCACATAAGGACATGAAACTCCTCGATTTTGTATTAATCAAAATCAGAATTCCATGAGGCCTACATATGTCAAGAACCCGAACCAGAAGTTTCGAGTGCATATACATCGATTTGAGTATGAAGTTCAAAGCACAACTATTAATTCAATATTTATTTAGATCTACGTATTTGAACCTGAAGTTTCAAATATATATTGATATGAACCTGAAGTTCATAGTTTTTCATGGATCTTAATACTATATATGAACATGAAGTTCATTACTTATTTGTGCCTATATGAACCTGAATTGGTTGGAAGTCCAATTCTTAAACTTGTAGTTTTATCTACATATTGAATCCACATTAATATTGGATTATCTTGGAATTTCATAGTCTTTAATTAATTTATTTTATTCCTCATTTTACCACTTTACTCATTTTATTTTATTTTATTTATGTTGGGTTATTAGTTAATTTCATTTTACAATGGTAATGTTTTGTATTACCGCCCTAATATTGACAGCCAAAGGCATCTATTGGAGAAACTTTCTACTTTCTTTTGTGGGTAGGAACAGGGACGGATCCAGGAATTCAAAATGGCATGGGCTGAATTTACCTTACAATAAAACTCGACGGCACGAGTGAATTTAATTAATAACAAAAAATAATACACCTAGTCAAAGGGGGACATAATGAGCCGTACCCCTCAAAATGCATATAGTACATAAGATAGAAACTAGTAAACAAAGGCAACAATAAATAAATATGCAATGCAAACACAAAATAAAACTATTGAAGTTGCACCCTTCAAGACTTCAAAGAGTTAAAATCACTAATTAGTGATTCATTATCAATACTATCAACAAATTCTTTTTCAATGTGAAGTAACATACAATCAGCAAGAAACTCATCCTCGATCTTGTTCCGAAGTCGATTTTTGATAAGTCTCATAGATGAAAATGCACGTTCTGTTGTTGCTGTAGAAACAGGAAGAGTTAACACCAAACGAATCAATCTATCAACCAAATGGTAGGTGTGTGCTAACCCTGTATCAAGTAAACACTTCAGCAATTCAGGAATGGAATCAAGATTCTTGAAGGCTGGAAGACGGTCCATATCAATCTTATAAAATCCCAATTGTTGATTTAAAGCCTGCAACTCAGTTGTAGTAAAATCTTCAGAATAAAACTTCTCAGTAAGATTACATATATCATCAATGCTAAATCGCTTGAAAGAATTACGAGGATCCAATGTTGAGGTCAGATAAAGAAGTTCCACTGTTTGATCCGGAAATCTAGTATTTAACTCCACCAACTGAAAATCTATTACATCATTAAATACATCAATGCGATAATAATGCTCAAACGTAATAGAATCCTTTTGTTGACAAGAACGACCTCTACCCATTTTATGACGAGCACTCATATCAGGTACCCAAATGTCATGTTGTTCACAAAATGATAGCACACACTTGATAAAATCATCCCAACCATCATTTCTCAACTCATCTAGCTTCATTTTGGTACTTGAAACAAGATTTAAAGCACTTACAATGTCTTGAGATTTGCTTTGAAGTGCTTGACAAAAAAAATCTCTAAATCCCATAGTTTTGTCCAACAAAAGTAAGGCAACAAACAAAGGAGAAGTTTTTCTCTCTGTCTCTGTTTCTCTCAGACTAGTCACTAAGTTTGACTAAGGTTATGCGTGGGCTAGGCTTTGCTTTCAATTTTGGGATGGGCTATCTCCACTAGGTTTTATTTCTCTCTTAAGAAGACTACATGGTATTACATATATATGTATATAAAATTTGTATGGGCTGTAGCCCAGACAACCCTTCAAGTAGATCCGTCCCTGGGTAGAAAGTTTATGATGTCATGAACCAGAAGTTCATGAGGCCCCAATATTACACAACTATTACAGTAGTTGAAGATTATGATGTCATGAAACAGCAGTTCATTGATCGAATAACTTTTATGTTGTGGCATGACTATCTTGGCAATCCATGTTCTACAATGATACATAAGATTTTTATACATTTGTATGGACATCGTTTAAAGACTCAAACTATTGTCTTGTCCAACAAATATCATTACACAGAATGCTCACAAATAAAAGCTGTCATGAGATCATCTCAGTCAAAAATTGACTTTGAGCCATCTTTCCTTAAATAATTCAAGGGGATATTTGTGAGCCTATACAACATTTAATTATGAATCACTTCACCAGTTTTACTGAATGTGCCTACTAAAATGGTCACATATTTGATAATGACAGTGAGTTTATTTTTCTAAATTTGAAGACAATTTTCCCGCCATTAGGGAGAGAAATGGCAGTTCCTGAAGAATGTCGTGAAATAGTGTTGAATCAATTCGCTTTTGTCTCATCAAGATAATGCATATATAAGTTGTATTGGATTGAAATTCTCGTATCACAATCCATTAACATGGTGACTATATAAATAATGCATGCTTGGAGAATGACAAAAATATAGGTTCTAAAGAATTAACTCCTCAAAAGTGGAGATTATTTGAAAAATTCAAGCCCTATAAAAAAAAATAACGCTCTATAGGAGGTTATGATCCACATATTCTAAATAATTCATTGTAAAAGAGATGTTTATCCCATAAGTGACAACATAAGCCCCTGAAAAAGCATTGGTACCCCAAAGCAATGAGATGATTATAAATTATGCATGTGCATGCACATGAGAATTGTGGAATCACAAATCGATGATACCTTTGGTTTATTAGTAGCTACTACAATCATCAAGGGCTATGATTATATTAAATCAGGTTTCATGAATGTCGACAAGTTAAGTGATTGGCCAAAAATGGAAATAGGCAATTCCAATTATCACTAATTATGAAGTGTGGAGTATTGAACCTATAGCTTAAATACCAAATTACAAATGTTAAGTATGAAGGTTACGAATTGGTGTTTGTGAACTGAAATAAGATCACTAATATGACATAAGGTTTCTTGGGAGAGACATGGTTTTAGTCTCCTATCTCATCGTAGATGCATCTACATTTCTATGAGTGCAGTTGTTATTTTAACGCGAAACTTATAGCATATGTTAAATGCATATTTATTAAGACTATATGGTACATGGAAATCCTCAAAGCTCATGAAATATTTGAGATATATCGAATGAAGTGAGCCCTGAAGGATATAAAGTACCACATATTCTGAATTAACAGTTTGAGTATTTTGAATTCAAATATGATATTGTTGTAACATATTCTAACTATCAAATTAGTTGTTGATGCTCCTAAAGATTTCAATCATTTGAAAAGTGAAAAACAAGTTGAATAGTGTGACAGACGATCATATATGAAGACAATGTTGCTTGTATTGCTCAAATAAGAGAAAGGGAGATATCAATCAAGGGGAGCATCCCAATTCTACTACATACAAGACATATGCGTGTTGTACTCTTTTTCCCTTCGACTAGGTTTTTATCCCACTGGGTTTTTCCTAGTAAGGTTTTAACGAGGCAACATAAGCATATCCAACACCATATCAACAATCTAGAAAAAAGTTTCACTCTTTTTCCCTTCGCTTCAGTTTTGTCCCACTGGGTTTTCCAAGCAAGGTTTTTAATGAGGGAACTATGTCATTGTATGGTGGACATCCAAGGGGGAGTGTTGTAAATGCACGAGTTGGTGGATGACCACCATACCTCTTAGTATTCCACCGTTGGATTTTATGTAACCTATGCACTAAATATTTGCAATTAGTGCTTGTAACCTATAGGTATATTGTAAATGATGGTATTCAATCTCCTACCTTGTAAACCTATAAATAGTTGGTTCTACCAAAGATTAAGGGAAGAATAAATATGGTGAAACTTTATCTTTAGCATATCACTTCTCTCTATATTTTCTCCCTCTAGTTTTATAACAAATATATCTTTTTTTTATCATTTTATATTATGATAAATTAGTAATTCAATAAATAGTTTGGTAGTATGGTGTATTCAGTTAATTTTTAGGTTCGTTTAACAACACTCTTTATTTTTTATTTTTTTAATCCCTAATTTCCTCTAGCATAACAATTTCAACCGTTAGGTGCATTAATTATGGTTTAGTTTTTTATTAGGGAGTTTGTTAGGATAGATTATATGCCTATTCCTTGTTGGGTATTGGTCTCGTAGTTGATTGTGGGCAATGACATAACACGTGTGTTTAACAATTTTTGTATACTGAATATATCCAATGTATTTCGGTACATCATAATTTTTGTATACTGAATATATCCTACGTATTTAGATACATTATAATTTTCCTACATAATAATTAGTGTACCTACCTACTATAATAGTGTGGCACCCCAACCCAATTTTAATTATCCATTTAAATTGTTTAAATTATTTAATTGTGAAATTACAATTTTGCCCTTGGGGTAGGCTCATTTTGGTCACTTTTTAATCCAGTAGGATTTTGGGAAATTGATTAGCACTGTTGCGTAGAACGCACCGATACAAGTTCGTAGACACGTGAGCTCAAATCGGAGTTTTAATGAAGAAGTTACGATCAACGGAAGTGCAATAGCACAACCGTAAATATTTCAAAGTTTGTTTTTAAAACCCAATCAGATTCTTCTCTCTCTCTCTCTCTCTCTCTCTCTCTCTCTCTCTCGTGACAACCTCACCCAGCCACTCTTTGGCCGAAAGTTTATCCATCCAGCCACCCTAGGCGACGGGACCGGTCCCAAATGAACCGACTCGACTTCCTCTTCTCAACCCACCCTTCCTCCGCTACAATCGCCATCTCTGCCACCATAAAAAGCTCGAAACCAGGGCGGATTTTCTTCGAATTTTTCGTCTTCTTTTCCTACAATTTCGGCCACCAAATTTGTCGATCCAAGTATGCTTTCTCATCCTTTCAACTTGATCTACCTTAGGATTGATTTTGAAGTTTTGAAGCTCAATTTACAATCTAAGTTTTGACCCGTTATCGCTAGAATTTTCGGCAAGCTCTGACCACTTTTTGGTCATGGCCCAAGAACAAAAATTGCTCCACTAGTTGTCCTGATCACGTAGGTATAGATATTGTTGGATATTTTGAGAATTTTCCGGTCGCCGAAATTTTCTCAAGACACCTATGAGCTGCCGACGCGTGTGGCGGCGTGAGGGCCAAGGTTGGGTGGCCCATTTGGTTCTAAAATGTTCCCTATGTCTTCCCGAACACGACGGTATGCTCGGATTCGAATTTGGTTATCGTTTGACGACCGAACAGATTTACGCATATTATGCATTATCCGAATTCGATATGTTGGGACTGTTAGATCGGCCTCATTTTGAAATATGTTGATCTAGATACCTCTAGGATTGTGTAGGAACTCACTGATTGAGAATTGGAGTCCTGAATGCTCCGACTGAATGATTCAAGGATTACGTAAAACGATGACCGTCCGATCGTGCGATCGCCAGCAATCCGGCCGCTTGATCTGGACCAAACTTGAAGAACATGTTTAGTAAACTTTGTTGAACTCGTAAGAACTTTCCGATCAGAAATCGGAGGTCGTGGGCCCAGTGGGGCTGATTGACCAAATTTGGGAAGTTTGACCACTCGTTTGACTGAGAGTCTCCAAAGGTTATTTCACATTTCGAAACACGTAGTTACACCTTAGGAACTCCTGTTTCTAAGTAACCGTCTAGCCATCATAGCTGAAATGAGGCAAGATGGAAGAACTTTAAGCTCCTCATAGAAAGTCACCTTAGGTCGTCCAGGATTACAAAATATGACCTCATTCTGGAAACAATCAACTGAACCATGATGCTTCACTAACCAATCCATCTCCTACTAAGTCCGCTTCCAAGAATATATCTCCTACTAAAACCAAACTATCCTTGTACACCATACCAACCATAAAAACCTCTCTCGTGGGTACAGAGATAGTAAGCTCCTCACGCAAGGTCGTGAGTCGCACATCGGCATTATGGGAAAAATTATGTTCAATAAAGGAATGTGTATCCCCGGGGTCGATCAAAACACTTGCCAGAATTCCAAAGACTGGTAACGTACCTATGATGACATCTGGCTATGCATGCGCCTCCTGCTAAGTCATATTATAAACTAAGGTTGGTCATTTATACCGAAAACTCGACCAAACTGGCTGAACCGGACCAATTTTGGTAGGTTGGTCCCCTTTTTTAATTAAAATTATTGAAATCGGCAGAAAAATCGGCTTGCGAGTTTGGTCCAGATAGAGCAGTCGGATCACTCACGATCGTACGATCGAACGGTCACCGTTTTATATAATCCTTAAATCCTTGAATCAGAGCATCCGTGACTCCGATTCTCGATCCGTGAATTCCAACACGATCCTAGAGTTCCTAGATCAGCATATGGAAATGGAGTCGATCCAACAATCTGAACATATCGAACTCGGATATCGCCTAACATGTAAAAATTCGTTTGATGGTCAAAAGATAACCGAATTCAAATCCAAGCATACCGTCGTGCTCAGAATGACATTGGGATCATTTTAGGGCCAAATGGACCACCCAAACTAGGCCCACGTGCCGCCACATGTGACGGCAGTGCGTGGGTGGCTTGAGAAAATTCTGGTGACAAGAAAATTCTCAAAATACCCAACAATACCTATCCCTACGTGATCAGGACAACTAGTGGAGCAACTTTTGTTCTTTGGCCACGGCCAAAAAGTGGCCAAAACTTGCCGAAAATTCGAGCCGAAAACATATAAAAACTTTAAGTTGTAAATTGAACCTCAAAACTCCAAAATCAATCCTAACCAACCCAATCATCAGCTACGTCACGTTAAAATGATGAGAATGCATACCTGGATGGACAAATTTGGTGGTCGGAATCATCGAAAAGTTTCGAAGAAATCCCACGATTTTTGAGCTATTTCTGGCGGCACAAGAGGCAGTTGCGGCAGAGAAAGGGTGGGTCAGAGAGAGGAGGTTGAGCCAGTTCTAACGCAAGTGGTCTCGTGGCCAACGGTGGCCTGAGGAGGGAGTTGTAGCTTGCCAAAGACCTGGTGTTTGTCTTGCGAGAGAGAGAGAGAGAGAGAGAGAGAGAGAGAGAGAGAGAGAAATTTGGGTTTTTTAAAAATATGACTTGAAAATATTTACGGTTGTGCCACTGCACTTTCGTTGATCATAACTTCTTCGTTAAAACTCCGATTTGAGCCTACTACGTGTCTACGAACTTGTATCGACTTGCTCTATACTTAAATCCCCAAATTCTTTCCCGAACAAAAAGTCAACTTTAAACCTATTAAAATACTCTCAAGGTAAAGTTGTCTTTTACTTGAATAATTTAAGAATTAATTATTAATTTAGGATTGTGTTATCACAATCTACTCCCTTATAAAAATTTCATCCTCAAAATTTCATACCTGTCACTCAAAGAGGTAAGGATACTGAGCCCGCATATGCTCCTTGGGTTCCCAATTGGCCTCCTCCACTGTGTGACTCCTCAACAGAACTTTCAGAAGTGGGATTTCTCTAGAACGTAGTACTTGTATCTTCCAGTCCAAAATCTAAACGGGTTGCTCCACATAACTCAAATCATCCTTCAATTCTATTGGTTGGGATTCCAAAACATGGGAAGGATTTGAAACGTACTTTTGGAGCATGGAGATGTGGAATACATCATGTAACCGAGAAAGTTCCAAAGGTAATGCAATTCTATACACCACTGGGCCCACACGCTCCAAGATTTCATATGGCCCAATGTAACAAGGGCTGAACTTTCCCCGCTTCCCAAATCTCACTACACCTTTCTAAGGCAACAACTTTATGAATACCCAATCACCAACTTCAAACTGAAGATCCTTCCTTATGTTGTCTGCATAGCTCTTCTGTCGGTCTTGTACAAAAGTGAAAGTTATCAATATAAAGTAATATTTAACAAAATTGAAATCTAACCTTAAAATAATCTTGCCATACTTCTTCAGTAGCTGTGAATTTCTTTGAGACGGAGTCCCACTCAAATCCAGAATTATGACTCATAAGCTGAGTAAAACTATGATATCTTGTCTTAAATCATTTCAAACGGCTCTGATATTGAAGATAAGTTTCTTGGCATCCAATTTTTGCACTAAGAACATGGAGTATCTTGCTTTCTACTATTTGCTTGCTTAGCAAACCATTAGAATTGTGCCATCCACAGTTGGCATCATCAACCATTAGTTCTAACAGCATATTGCTCTCTTTCGAAGTCCATGGGTTATAAGGTGTTTTTCCTTTTCCTTATTGTGAATCTCCCATTTATAATATTACTAGATACTACATGCAATTTTTAATTAGTTCATAAGAAATATATATATATATATATATATATATATATACAGAAAGCTTTCATTGAGGGATCCCTCAAATTTGAGGTACACCCCTTGTAGGCCCCACTCCGGATTGTATTTCACTAATCCAAACAGTCTATTTTGTAGATATTCATTCAAAGATCATCTCTACAAAAAATCACTTGAATCTGATATCATTTGACTACTCAATTGAGTTATTGACATTTTAGTACTTTCTTGAAGCACCGTGTTCATTGATTTTGTAAGACACAATTGGATGTTGAAACGGTTTCTGATTTGTCTAATTTTTTGTAAGGATGATCTATGAATGAAGACCTAAAAAATAGATTATTTGGATCATTGGGAAAAAATTATAGGGTACCCTAAAGGGTATATCCCTCAATAAAATAGGACTATATATATATTGTACATAAACAAATACCAAATAACAACAACTAATAAATAAATAAAGAAGGAAAAGGCATAACTAAAAAAAATTTGAATGCTTACTATATGATATGATGTACTATATATATATATATATATATTGTACATAAACAAATACCAAATAACAACAACTAATAAATAAATAAAGAAGGAAAAGGCATAACTAAAAAAAATGAATGCTTACTATATGATATGATGTACATAAAACAATGCCATGATTTGCCATCATATATATACTGTACAAAAAACAATGCCATGGTTACGCACAACCAAAATAAATAAATAAAAAGAAAAGTAGAAAAAATAATTGGGATGCTTATGTACATGGATATATATACATCAACAACAACTATTCAAAGACTATCAACCATACGATTGCAAAAAGAGGGGTATCAAAGATGATACATATTGTATAAAAAGAGAAGAAATTTTTTACCTCTACTTAACAAGCACACACATTTTGGAAAGCATAGAGCACGTTCAAAGTTTCTAAGGTTGACATAAGATTTGTCAAGGCATTTTCTATTTATACTTACCACTTTAAATTCTAACAAAATTGGGCAACTCATTAATTCCTTCAAAATAAATAACTTTTTTAATACACCTAAACTTTGTTTGACTTCTAAAAAGTCATAATTGAATACACCTACATTTCGCTGTATTTTTTTAAAATCAATAGAAATCTGAATTGAATACACCCCCTTAGTGACATTTGAAATTCAAATGTTTTATCTTCTAGATAGTCTTTTGAGTTAGTTTTCTTTGTATAGGACTCAAAGTCTATCTCATATGCTCCCCTGATTTGTAGAAGCAGTTCTTCTTTTGAATATTGTAATCATCCATACTTTTGTATAAACATACAGCTGCAATCACAGGCTAAGCAAGATTAAATACACCATAATCATTTATTTATAATGATTTACTACAATATTTTACACTTTATACATTGCATGGTAAAATACATAAATGACTTAATACCATAATGAGTTCCTATAAGGTTCAATTTTGAGTTATTTACACTAACACCTCCTGAGGTTTTCGGCTTTTTTACAAAACTGCTTGAGGTTTTAGAAATTACAACACCCCTTGAGGTTTTAAATTGTTTTCACAAAACTCCTTTTCATTGATTTTTCATCCAAAGATTGATGATTTTATACAAAAAAAATTCTCCAAATGACAAAGTTGACCTTTAAGATTAGATTGCATATACTTCATTAAGGTTAATTTTGTCATTTGCATAATTTTTTTTCAATGAAATCATCAATTTTTGGACAAACAATCAATGAAAATAGGTTTTGTGAAAACAAACTGAAACCTCAGGGGTGTTCATGTAATTTTTGAGACCTGATGGGGTTTTGTGAAAATACAAGAAACTTCTGGGGTTGTTAGTGTAAATAACTCTTCAAATTTTTCATTGTCTTCATCATCTCGATAGTATCAATATTATAGCGATATTTTGGCCAAATATTGCTGAAGTGTGAGAGAAATTATCAACATCGATATTTTATGATATTATCAATATTTATACGATATGTGTATGGATATGTTCCAAAATATCTTTGACCCGAAAAAACGATAATATCCTCGATATTATTGATATTTTAGACTATGGGTATGAGTACATATGCTTCTAGTTGAATGCGATTCTCATTGTATACCGATATCTGTCTAGATCAATTCAACATGTTGTGTTTGGTCACTGGATGAGTTTTACTCACATTCGGCACATAGTTGCTTCGTACTTTTGTTTCTTCATCAATAATATTCTATCACTTTTTTGTTTTTTTGGGCCTCCCTTAAGCTACAATTCATGTAATTAGGCTTCTTGTGACCCAAGACTAGCTTAATTTAATTTTAGGCCTCGTGTCCTACCTAAGCCCAATATAACGATCTTGGTCTCGCTTATTAATATTTTTGTGTGAATAATTTTATCTGAACTGAAAATAATTATTGAGTAACAAAAATTTAAAATAAAAAAGAAAAATTATCTCACTTACACAGCCAAAATTTTCCTTACGCCCTTCTTATTGCTTCATATTATTAATAATTATAATTGATTTTGACATTTAGAGATGTTTCATCATGAGAAATTAACAAGTGTGTCTATAGAATTTAAAACTAAAATCAAGCGTATACTTGAACAAAGAACCTCTTAATTTAGTAGTTATGCTGTTCTAAATGTCGATGAAAAATTCTAAATTCGAATATCCTTTTTATCAATTAAAATAAAATAAAAAAATATAAATACTTTGAAAACACACCGAACCTGCGATTTGTGCATTGCCACGAATCCGTCGGCAATTCATTTAGATTATGTCGCCACCAAGCATATAAATGTAGTCAAACGTCTCAAAAGTCTACCTTGAAAAGGCTGAATGAATCTTTGGTGTGATTTCTTTTTCTTGGACCAAATAAAACTCGAAACAATGCCCTTTTGTCTTTGGTTGGTTTCTTTGCCTGTTTTTCTTTTGGGACCTAATAAACTCAAAACAATTCCATCCTGGTTTCTTTTTTTATTGACTAATCAACAATCCCCCTGGCCTCCTTCAAAAGTTGGTTCATAAAATTTAAAATAATTTAAAATAAAAAGGAAAAAAAACAGAAATATCGAATGGTGGGGGCCAGCAGGGCTTAGAAGGTTGAACAGTCCAAAAAGAGCAGCTGGAGCTGACACGTGTCGGTCCTCTATGATGTTGACTCGGCGGAGCCACCGGAGAGAGAAAATGTTTCTTCCTTACAATATTGACGAAAAAGAAAAAGATAACAAAAAAAAACTAATCATGTAACGAATTCCATTGAACAAAAACATCGCAAAATTCTAATCTGCTTTTTTCATTTGCATCTGGGTTTCATTTGCATTTCATTTCATTTCGCTGCCTGCCTGCCTGCCTCTCCGCATGTCATTTCCCTCCCCGCATGTCATTTCCCTCGTCTTTTCCTACATTCACATAAATACAATTTCAATTTAATTTCCCTTTTTTCTCCTTTTTTCTTTTAAAACAAATAAAAGAACACAGAGCGAGGAATGATAGAAGAAAGGTCGAAACTCGACCGATCTCCAAAACGACTCGTTTCGCTCCGAGCGTCGCGATCCGGAACCCCGACCCTAGCGCCGCTTCACAAATTGCTCACTGCGTCGAGATCGCTCCGCCGGCGTTGAGTTCGCGCGCATCGGATTGGATCTGAGAAATCGGCGATCGGATCTGAGGGCGGTGGTGGTGGAACGATGCCGGCTCACGCGGATCTGGACCGTCAGATCGAGCATCTGATGGAGTGCAAGACGTTGCCGGAGGCAGAGGTGAAGACTCTGTGCGAGCAAGCCAGGGCGATCCTCGTGGAGGAGTGGAACGTACAGCCGGTGAAGTGCCCCGTTACGGTGTGTGGAGATATTCACGGCCAGTTCTACGACCTCATTGAGCTCTTTCGGATAGGAGGCAACGCCCCCGACACTAATTACCTTTTTATGGGTGATTATGTAGGTCAGTTTCTTTTTATTTTTTCTTTCCTTTTCTGCTTTATGCTTCTTTTCTTTTGCCTTTCTATTTTATCTTTATTTATTTTTTCGTTTTGATCGTTTAACGTTTTTCCGATCGCTTTTAATCTATTTATGGAAATGAATGAAGCTCTGGAATTGGTTTACTGTGATATTTTTGGCTTCTGCGTGTCTTGTTTGGATGCGGATTGTTGTAGAATTACTCAATTTGTGTTTTGGCGTTGGTATTGACTTGCGGATTATCCTTGTTATGAATTTGAATCACATGTGCGGTACTATATGCTATGATGTTTTCCTTCTTTGTTTGATGAAAATGGATGTATGTGTAATTTGATATTATGTCCTCGATCTTGACTTGCTTTCCCCCTTAGTTTTGTTAACGGTTTATGCAATATGATGGTTGAGTTGGAATCACTGTAATATATTCAATCTTTTCTAGAGTCAATCTTACTTCAATAGTGATCACGGGAATTGGTTAGCTGGGTTTCTATTGCTTCTATAATTTTCTTATGTATCTAAGATCTGTTGAAATGTGAAAGAATAATTTTCCCTAAGTGGAAAAAATTGCTTGTGCTGGGCTTTATGTGTTGTGTTCTTCAGCTTCGGTCAGGGTTAACATTGTTTTAGATAGTGGAACATGCATCTATTTGATGTTTTACGTTTACTTATGTACTATTGTTTTCTTAACGTCTTGGCCATACAAATGCAGATCGTGGGTACTATTCTGTGGAGACTGTCACACTTCTGGTGGCCCTGAAAGTCCGTTATAGAGATAGAATTACAATTCTCAGAGGAAATCACGAGAGTCGGCAAATTACTCAAGTGTAAGAATGTTTAGTATATTTCAAATCTGTTGCTCATAGTTTTACCAATTTTTGTTATACCAATCAAAAAATGGGAGCTGTGACTAAAATTCCGTATGAATATTTAGAGTTTTCAATTTTGCCCCTTTCACTGTGTCTGGTTTTGTTGATTCACTCACAAATTTTCACAAAAGAGTAATGTAGAGAACTCTTAAAAATGCCAGGCTAGTATTAAGCTTTTTTTTTCCTTATTATTTTTCCTAGGCTTAATCTCTTGATGATAACGTCTTTTGACATGGATTTCTTTTTTCTTTTAAAACAAATAGATACCTGTTTTTATTAGGTAGATATAATTTGCTTTTGGTGGGACTGTTGGCACTCCAGACTAAAGGTGGGATTGTTATAAGTGGTGCGTAGACGATATTTCTGTGTTTCAATGGGATTGTTATATGGGACCTTCAAGGCTCCTACAACCTCATGTTCCTATCAAAAAAAGGCCCCTACCTTATGGTAACATTTTGTAAAATACTGATATATCTAATCCATCCGTAGTATTTTATGTCTGAGGTTGATGGGGTTCCATGGATACTTGAACTAAGGCTAAATTAACAAATTACTTTTTTAACATGGCTGTGTGGCAAAAATTAAGCTTTTGAATTCTGACCCCAAAACAAAAAACTAAAAGGCTTTTGAAGATACTACAAGCTGATAGTTGAAACAGCCACACTCCATTAACTTTGACAAGATCTTTGTTGATTGACAGAGAGATTGAATTTATTCTTGGTTTGCTCCTATGTTTTATTCATTTTTGTCTCACATTTGTCACTTTTTTCCAGGTATGGTTTTTATGATGAGTGCTTGAGAAAATATGGGAATGCCAATGTCTGGAAGTTCTTTACCGATTTATTTGATTATCTTCCCCTCACAGCCCTTATTGAGAGTCAGGTGAAGTTAAATGTTTTGCTGACAATTTGGTGAACTTCTTGAAGACAAGTTAGTTGTATTAATTTTTTACAGCTTCTGGTATCTCTTGTAGATTTTCTGTTTGCATGGGGGCCTTTCCCCATCTTTGGACACATTGGACAATATCCGAGCTTTGGATCGTATACAGGAGGTAATTTATTTTTTTTTCCAAATAAGTGATCAGAGGTTGTGATTGATGTTATGATGTTTGCATTTTCTGTTTCCATTTGTATGGTTGCATAATTTTGCATCTTACAAGCTTGTGTTGATCATTCTTGCATCATGACGTGTTTCTTCATGAGCAGGTTCCACACGAAGGACCAATGTGTGATCTCTTGTGGTCTGATCCAGATGACCGCTGTGGATGGGGAATATCTCCACGTGGTGCTGGTTATACATTTGGACAGGATATAGCTGCTCAGTTCAACCATACCAATGGACTCAGTCTCATTTCAAGAGCTCATCAGCTTGTAATGGAAGGATACAATTGGTGTCAGGTGCGAAAACCCGAATGGCACTACAAATTATTATTTTTTGTTTCTCATTTTGTGTCATCATTTTCAGCTGTATGTTTAACTTTCATGGTAACCTTGTGTTCCAGGACAAGAATGTGGTGACTGTTTTTAGCGCTCCAAACTATTGTTATAGGTGTGGGAATATGGCTGCAATATTGGAAATTGGGGAGAACATGGACCAGAATTTCCTGCAGTTTGACCCAGCCCCTCGTCAAATTGAGCCCGACAACACACGCAAGACTCCAGATTATTTTTTGTAATTTCAGCATCTTACAGGGGGCTGTTTGTAATCCATGTTTTCTGCCATGTTACTGTAGATGTGTCTTTAAGGGGAGTTGAGTTACGTTGTTTAAGTTGAGGGTTATGGTCAACATGATTCTTTGTTTGGAGTTTTTGTCCCTGCTGCTGCTGCTTTGTTGAATTTCTGAAGAAACTCGTTAGGAGAACTGACATTAGTCACCAATGGCCTGTGGCTCTTGTCTTTGTATATTTTTCTGAGAGGAAACGTCAATAACATGGTATATCTCGTTCTGTAATTTTTCCAACTTCAACATAGAAAAAGCTGATTTTTCGAACATATTGATTTTACAAACCACAAACGTCTATAAGTTGAGTGCATATTGGACATTGCCTACTTCAACCCCTCTCTGTGTTTTCATGGGCGGGGCTGCTACAAATTGTTTAGCTATAGAACACAAAAACAAGTTCCAAATTGCCACGAACCGAAGCCCCTGCAGTTCACTTGTTAGTTGTATTGGATCACATTGAACTGAATTATGCTGAATTATATTGTACTATCTTGTAACGTTCGGACTTTCTGTGACCCTCTAGCACAACTGCATTATAGTTGAACGCGACAAGATGGACCAACATAGAGTAACAAGGTTTTTGCATTACATTCCTAACCAAAGAATTGTAAGCCGTATGAACAAAATATTACAGAACGGAGAAAAAAAAGATAAAAGAATCCTCTCAATGCGAGACATACTATGCAGTGGGAGAATTGAAGCCCGCAAATGGTACAGTTAAATGCCCCTCGAATGAGCTGCTTCTGATGTGGCACAGGATTTCCGTTTAAAACCTAGAGTTGCTCTGAATTCGCCCTGCTCCAAATCCAGTCATGGAAACAGTCTGCTTTCTTCTCAAGTATACAACCGAACCGCTGATGAGTAAGAAGAACAGCACAATCACCTGTCCCGGCAGTTCATAAACATTCATTAACATGGACATAAAAGAAATGTATATAGCTGAACTAGCTTTACATGAATACAAAAACTATAATCATGTAGTTTGCTACTGTTCTCTCTCTTCCATTCTGAATACACTCTGATCACCTAATTTAATCAAACATACTACCACAAAAAACCAGCTTCTTTATTATCAGATATCAACAAACAAAAAGGTAACAAAATATAGAACAATTATCAAAAGATACTACATACCTCAAAACCAAGCACTGACAGCTTCTCTTCACTAACTGCTGGGATACAGCTTCTGTAAGTAATGTAAGCCTGTGGTCCATCCTCTAGTGTGGCTGAATCATCAAGCAAACTTCTATGCTTTACAGAAGTGCCGAGTTCTTCCGCATTATGCAATTCTGCATCGTTGTGATAGATCTCCAGAGTAGATCGACTCTTTTGAGAACCGTTTGCTTTTTCATCCTTCGAACTACGTTTAGTTTCCACACATTTCAAAGGGATGCGATAGCCAGTCTCACTGCAGCGATATTTCTCATCCTTCTACAAGAGAAACAAATACTTACAACTAGTACAAGGCAAAGGGATCGCAAATATAAGGGAAGACACATGGAGACAAAAGAATATTAAATCTGCGAAGTGCAGAATACGAAAGCAACTTATCATATAGTCATTTGGTTACATCTTATGAGATCCAAAATTACCTTAATCATGGCAGTATAAGAACAAAATATTACCCATCTGGGCTCATTCAAACACCATATCAAACAAATATGGAAGTACTTCAGATTCCATTCAGTATCAATCAAATCAATATATTTCATCCCTGTTCTTAACTTTTAGCATTTTCAAAACAAATTGCAGAGCTAAATTAGACCAGACCATACTGTTCAAATTTTGTTCCTAAAAGCTCAAATCATATCGAAGTAAGCTCAAACGACAATTCAATGCTCAAGATGTTCTATGAAAACCACAAAACATTCAGCACAAACTGCATCTGAATCGAATTGAAAAAATAATCGTTTGGGCAAACTGAAATGAAATGAAACCTTCTCAGAGTAAAGGCAAGGAACGCAAGGACCAGCTGGAGAGCATTCGAAGGTAGTGTTACTTCCACGAGGGGTTTCTTTTAGACTCAGCAGCGCTCTGCGCCCAATCCCTTCGCTTTCATCGCTTTGGATTCTGAATATCAAAACCAAACCAAAAAATTTCTAAATTCAACTGCACTTGATCACATAAATCAAATATTCACGCGCAAACATACATGTACACACATAAATATATATATATATATATATTCTAGTGTTAGGGCTTACGTGGCGTGGCCTACTGAGAGCAGAGCGAAGGCTACGGAGAAGAAAAGCAGGAGAAAGAGTGATGAATCTGAAGGCATAATTGCTCTCTCTTCGCCTCTAGCTTTCTCTTCTCTTCTGCTAAAGTAGGAGAAGTTTTCATATTTTTTATTTATTTCACTGGAGCCCCCTGATGTTCTTCATATTATAAAACTGCCCCGTATTTGGCAGACTCACTTTTGGGCCGCAAGAGTTGGGCTACGGCACTGGACTTTGGGCTTTTGCAACTAAACCGCAGTTTAATGAGATTACGACATGTCGTTTCGTTCGCCTCATATATCTAACTCCTGCCCACCCCATTTACAGTGAAGTCTTTTTTTTCCACCATTTTTTTTCCTATACAAGCGATACTTTAAATTAATCTACGTCCTGAGCAACCGGCTTAACCTACGTCTGATTTTCAACAACTTATATATGCTTTTGGCTTTTGCTCTCCAAGTTGAGGTGTCAATTTATACTGGCACATATTTAGATTGTAGCTAAAGGAGCTTTATTGATTGCAATCACGTAGTGGGTGAGCCAATTCAAATGTCATAGGGCTGGCTTACTCCATATACCCAGTGGGGTTGCGGATTGGGGACCATGTGGTCAAGCATATCTCAACGCACCCCCTCCCCTAACCACTTCAACCAGGCACATAAAATGGCCAAAATGTCGCAAAAGGACATTTCATACCGCCCCACATGGCAGGGTCTGTTTGGGTAGGGTCAATTAAATTAAAGTCCCTTCATATCATACGAAATGAACCCCACTGAAGCTGAAAGATACGTCATAAATATTTGGGTTATATGATTTATTATAATGACCCAGATGATAATGATGATGATGATTCTTAAATCTTTTTCAGCACAAAAGTTTTAATGCTATCACGAGAAGACCGCGGTGGCCTTTTTACTTATTATATGGTATGAAAAGAAGAAAAGAAAACGTCATTGAATACAAGACGTGTATAATTTGTTTCATTGAATTCCATCCAGGCTTTATATGCTGCTGTGTGTTGAGTTGTTGATATGAGCGGAGGGTGAAAGTGTAAAGAAAAATACAAAACGGTCTTTGACTCTAAATATAATTGACCCTTGCAAAGTGGTTGGGCCAGGGTTTAGGGTACCTATCAGAGATTGGATAAAATTCATAAAGTATGAGAAGGTGACTTCTTTGCTGGATTTGAATGCTTCCAATTATGAGAAGACAGAGGAGGCTGAGATGCATTCACACTGGTATTGCCTTTTCAAATCATGAGATCCATCAAAAAAGGTTCCAGATCTAAACATGGATGACAAATTGGATTTACCAAATGCAGAACCTAATGAAGGAACTTAATTCTAGAGAACTTCATCATCAAAACACCTAGCATTAAGAATCCATGCATGCATGATGAAAATGGAAAAAAGGCTGGAGAAATTAGAACAGATGACGGAGCAATTTTATAACTGAAAACAGAGATTTTCTGGATTACATAAACGTTACAATGCATAGTGCTTCTTTATAATACACAATGATTCAACAAATGAGCATTAGAACACAGAAATCATGCCCAACCGACCGGAAACCATACCAATTGTAGAAAATGCCTCTCATATGAATACAATGAAGGCATGCCCAAATGCTGCAGTATTTTGCACTTTTAGTACTCTCCCTGCCGGACTATTGTATAAAATCAAGATTCAGGAACCTGCTTGCCAAAGACCAATGGAAATTCATCATACTGTTCGAAGAAACCATTTTTCTCAGCAAAGACCTTCAATGACTCATAAACCTGATACATGGAAGGCCTGTCCTTTGGCCTAGCAACCACACAAGTACAAGCAACCCTCATGAACTGCAAAATTTCATCATCGTGACCTTTCCCTGCTAAGATATTGTCTATGGCATCCATGCTTCGACCAGCGTTTGATAAATGATTCACCCAATCCACCAAATGACCCTTGAATCCTTCCACTGCATTAACAATTTCTAGAGGCTTCTGTCCAGTCACCAATTCCAGAAGAACCACCCCGAACCCATACACATCCCCTTTCAACGATGCCACCATTGTGCTCGAGTACTCAGGAGCCACATAACCAAACTCTCCCAAATCCCCATTGACAAACGAGCTATCATTGGAATCACGAGAAGCAACCAGCCTCGCCAGCCCAAAATCCGTTATACGTGCTTCAAAATCATAGTCAAGAAGAATCACATTCGAGCTAATGTTCTGGTGCATATAAGGCGGCTGACAAGCATGGTGAAGCCAGGCAAGTCCTTTCGCTGCACCTACACCAATCCTTAGGCGTGTTGGCCAATCCAAAAAACCATACTGGCTGTTCACATTACCACTTCCGTGCAACTGAGAGTGCAATGTGCCATTGTACATGTGCTTATACACCAAAAGCTTCTCTTCCTCCACAACACAAAACCCCAACAAAGGCACCAAATTGGGATGCCTAAGCTGCCCCAACCTATTCATCTCCGACTTAAATTGCTTCTCACCAAGCTTACACGCATTAAGCCGCTTAATCGCCATTGCCGAACCATCAGGCAAGACAGCCTTATATGAAACACCAGTTCTCGTGGAAATGACAATGTTTTGGGGATCAAAACTGTTGGTGGCCGCCAACAGATCAGCCAACCGGACTTTCACAATGGGTTTTTGAAACAGAGACACCTGAACAGCCTTATGAGACCTCAACAACCCAACCCAACCACTCCCATACTTATCACCACCAACACCACCATCAAAGCTTCGCTTTTTCTGACTCGCCCTAACAAAGAACCACCACCAAATCCCCAAACCCAAGATCAAAGACCCAGCAGCACCAATTGCACCAGCGGCGACTATAATGCCGAGGCTTTTGCTGCTCAGTCCACCACATTTAGACCCAAGAGGCATCCCGCACAGCCCACTGTTCCCATCAAAGTCATCCTTCTCAAATTTAGACAAGTCCGGAGGTATCGTACCAGAGAGACCATTATTAGCGACGGAGATTCTCTTCAACCTATCGAGCCGGCCAAGCTCATAAGGCAAAGAACCGGAGAGACGGTTATCGTTCAAAATGAGAGTGTTGAGGAACTTACAGTTGACAATCTCCGGAGGGATGGAACCGGAGAGGTGGTTGTTGGAGAGATCTAGGGTTACGAGATAAGGGAGCCAATTGCAGATTTGGGGAGGGATGGAACCGGAGAGAGCGTTACCGGAGAGATCCAGGCTCTGGAGGCTATGGCAGAACTTGAGAGACTCAGGGAGCTCACCGGCGAGCTCCATTGAAGGAAGCTGGAGGCTGATGAGTCGATTCTCCTTCTCATTCCAGCACGACACTCCGACCAGCTTGCAGATGGAGGCCACCGACCTGTTGCCCAAGTCCCATTGCCTCAGCCTCCCTTGTGGGTCTGTGAGTGAGGTCTTGACCCCCTCAAGGCAAGTGAGGTCGTCTTCAATGGAGTAGCATAAGAGGGAGTTGCAGAGCACCAGTGAGACAATGCCCAAAAAGATCTTCATTTTTTTGTTTGTTTGTTTTTGGTTTTTTTTTTTTTTTTTTTTTTTTTTTTTTTTTTTTTTTTTTGTGGGATTTAGGGCAGCGAAGAGCGTGGGTGTTGTGGTGGAGATGATGGCGATGGTGGAGGTTGAGGTAGATGGGAAATGGAACAGGCCATTTGACTCTGGTTTTCAGTCTACAGAGGAGAGGACCAGTTCTTGGAGTTTTGACTGCTACCCACCTGATATTTGGGCTTTTTATGGGGCTTACGGCGTCGTTTTGTCCGTGACGTGGCTTAAATGGCAGGCCAACTAATTAATTTAGGGATGCTAATCTAATTAATTACTTAATTAATGATATTTAATCTTGGGTTTAAGTTGAGTGGAGTGGAGACAAACAAGCACTGAAAGCTCCAGTTTTTAAAGAGTAGTTTGATTAATAAGCTCTAAATCCACCCACTCATCATCGCTTATCATTTGTTTGGAATATCTTTGTCATCCTTTTTTAAGGTAAAATGATACTTTTCATTGATTTTCCCTTTTTTTAATTATTACTAGCTTCACATGCGCTTCCGTGTTTGTGAAATGCTATTTTTTTTTTAAATAAAATTTTAAATTTTATTTTAGAATTAAAAAAGATAATGGATAGTTGCGTTCCATTATCCTCATTTAATTAATAATTTCACTTTTTAATGTTTACATTAACTAATGACATTTCCGGCATTTTGATTGTTTTACTATTCCCTGCCGTTAACGACTGTGGGATTACTGTAGGCCCCACACTTGGGTTAGGCCATCACTCTCACATTGATTTTTGGGTTCAATGAGGGCTTCTTCCCCACATGCTAGTTTATTGGGCCTATATCGGCACCTCTTTTATTGGGCCAAATTTAACAAGTACGAAATAATTGGGAATTTCTTTTTGTTCTTGTTTTTAAATTCAACAATAGTAGTTTATTATATTTAAAATCCAAATTTACTTTAGCAAATTAAAGATTGAATACCACTAGACCAAACAATCATTGACATAATGTGATTTACGAACTTTTCCGTTTAGGTTAGAGATATTAACAATTGATTGTGTACATGCTCGTGTTTGTGAGTAGTGCCTAAGAACAACTCCACCCATTTGCCCTTAGCCATGACAAGGGGGGAGCTAGGGCAGCCACTATTCACGTGAATAGTGGCTGCCCTTACAAATAGTATTTTGTGTTTCCACCCTGAAAATACCTGCAGGATGACTCAAAATGCCTAGAGGAGGGTGAATAGGCCAATTTAAGATTCTAATCAAATAAATCAAAATAAACTTCGGTAGCAGGATTGATATGAGTTATCAATCATGTAACGTGCTGGGCATATTTCTTTTCTTTCTTTTTTTTTCTTTTTTTTTCTTTTTTTTTGGGATAAGCGACAGGAAAATAGAGAACTAAAAAGAATAATGATAAGTTGTTAAGAACCAAAACATACAAAAACAAAAGCAATACACTCAAGACAGAAAGCTCAAAACAATCAAGACATAAAACATACTGTAGATGCAGACCCAAAGTTCTCTTGAAGATATAATTATTTTCCATTCATAAACATGCCAAGTTTGCGGGTAAAGAATGAAAGAAGCAACAAACCCTTTGATGTCTTGAACGCATGTGAAGCAAAGCATGTCAAGGACAAACACACGACAGCACACGAGACTCACAAACTCACAGAGAACAGTAGAGGCATGCCACAGTCATAGTGAAAGATAAAAAGGCATCAAATGAGTCTACCATCAAGGAGCAAATGTGTTAAATGAACTCTTTTTCAATTAAGCACAAAAAATATGTCCACACAAGACGAATCCCACCAAAGATTGCACAAACACTAAGTGCATAGTAAGTATAAGAAGATCAATTTATATATATATTTTTAATACAAATTTTGTGGCTCACTTTATCTAGCTTTCGACATGATCCATGTAACGGATGGTCAATCAGTGTGCTTACGTCAGATGACTAGAGGCAACTGGGTGATGAAGCACCCCTGGGGAAATACTGATCCGAATCATGAAGGCTCCAAAGATTAGCAAGGATAGCAAACCATCACAACCTGTTGACTCGAACCTCGACGTTGGTTAGACAAGAGGCTCGGTTACTGAGCAATGAGTGGTTGACACCTTTTAATAAACAGATCAAGAACTTACGCACAGTAGTGTTATAGCAATCCAAAGAGAGACAAGTGCATGATAAGAGATATTCAAATGACTTCAAGGAAAAGAGTGTGGTGTGCAAAATAAAAATAAATAGATGGATAGATCATTTAATGAAGTTTATAATGCACCAAGACAATGAAAACCTTTGTGTGAAGCTGAGAGTGTGAGTTCTTAATATAGTGCAATGTCATAGCCCAATCTAAGATCAACAAATACGTTCAGACAGTTACAGGATTGATACACCTTAACAATCCTTGCACGAGCTGGACAAATTTATAAACATAGAAATTAATTGAAATATCATAAAACATGAAAGAGGCTTTGGCATGCAATAGACTCCAAATTAATCTAGAGCACATTTACCTAAAGACTTTCTAAGAGTGTTAAATCGAAGATTATCCAAGGGTTTTGCAGCAATACATTTAAGATCCAAACTTTCTAAAGCAACGGGTTCATGCACAACATTAGTGGAGGAAAACATACAATTATGATTTTCCTTTTTCCTCCAAACTAACTTTGTCTTAGTTGACGGCAAACAATGAAAAGAAGATGGTTTGGATAAGCGGTTTACCTCTTTCATAAGATTTGAAATCTTATGTTGGATACTTACTTTTCCACCCATGCCATGAGAATTTGAACGAACAAATTCGTTTCGAAGCTTATTGCATCTCGGTCTTATGTGCCCACAAGTTCCACAAAAGTGACAAATTGGAATAAATTTCTTGACTTCATGAGAGGCAGAAAGTTCAATAGGTGAAATGGATTTGACAAACTTTGTTTTAGATACAGCGGAAGACTTATTACTTTGTTCAAATCCCAAGCCTCGTTTGTCACCATCTCTTCGTCCCATGCTAATCATCTTGTCAATTTTTTCTGCACCAATGCTTAAAGAAACAATCCTTTCTTTTGAATTTTTAAGTTCAAGTTCAAGTTCAAGGGCTTTGTTGTCAGAAGTTAGAGAAGCAATTAATTTATTCTGATCAGTCAATTTTTTCTGCAAAAACATCAATTTTTCGTTCATACCTGCACTTACCTTTTCGGAATCTGCATCAGGGGATTGAAACTCGTTTGCAATCCTGCAATTTTCCAGCTTCAGCACAGCAACTTCTTTGACAAGCTCACTATTCTGAGATGTAGCCAACAAATCATCATATTTGTTCATGATAAACTCAATATTTATACCTTTACAATCATCATCGTCACGTGATTCATCCAAGCTAACTGTGGTTATAAGTGCAACCGTCTTTTCATCATTCTCGCATTCCGATTCACTATCACTCCAAGTAGTATGCATTGCCTTATTCTTGCCATCCTTTTGTTTCTTTAAGGTGTTGGCACATTCCGAAGATATGTGTCCATAGCCTTCACATTCGAAACATTTGACCTTTTCTCTTGGATTCTTTCGTTCATTTAACCTGCGAAATTTAGATCCACCATCAGTATAGTTAACAAACCTATTTTTAGAATTTATACCTTTTGAATCTCGACTCCTTGGATCCTGATTCTTGAGAAAGTTCATGAATTGTCTTGTGAGAATCGTTAATTCCTCATCACTGCAATCTTCATTTGAATGCCCATCATCTTCTTCATTCACAACCCTGAACGCAACATTTTTGCTCTTTTTAGGAGGTAGATGTTTCATCTCATAGGTTTGTATGGACTCTATGAGTTCTTGAACTTTCAAGGTGTTCAAGTCACGGATCTCTTCAATAGCCGTGATCTTTGGTTGAAACCGTTGAGGCAAGGATCTCAAAATCTTTTTCACAACTCTATCTTCTTGAATTTTTTCACCTAAACCTGAACAAGCATTCACAATTACACAAAGTTTAGCATAAAATTCAGAAAAAGTTTCATTCTCATCCATCATAAGTGTCTCAAACTGTAAAGTGTGCATTTGAAGCTTGGCTCCCTTGACAGTATCTGTTCCTTCATGAGTAACCTGCAAAATATCCCAAGCTTCCTTAGAAGTATCACAAGAAGACATATATTCAAATTGATCAGAAGAGACAGCAGTAAATAAAGCATTTAACCCCTTTTGATTATTAGTGATGTGTGTGACTTCTGCAGTGGTCCACTCCTCTCTAGTTTTGAGGACTGTGGTTTCTTCATCTCCTTTTCCAATCGTCTTTGTGGGTTTAGGAAATCCATGAACTACTGTGCTCCATACACGTTCATCTAAGGACCAAAGAAACGACTTCATTTTGGCCTTCCAAGCGCCATAGTTGTTGCCATCGAAATATGGTGGATGTGCAATTGAGCCCGAGGCACGATCCATCCTAAGGTATGTTAGATCTTGCTGAGTATGTCCAGCAACCTGCTCTGATACCAATTGAAAATACCTGCAGGATGACTCAAAATGCCTAGAGGAGGGTGAATAGGCCAATTTAAGATTCTAATCAAATAAATCAAAATAAACTTCGGTAGCAGGATTGATATGAGTTATCAATCCTGTAACGTGTTGGGCATAAAATAAAAGAACACGCAGAGAATTATTTTACGTGGTAAAACCCCACCTCTAGGGAAAATCCACGGGACTCCTCAGTCCAACACAAATCCACTATATAACGATAATTACAAGAAGTACTCACACACTTATCCTAGACACATTCTAGATAATGTTTACCGACTTCTTCGTAACTCAACTTCTGTCACGGGATGATCTTCGACACTCCTTATGTTGAACGCAATACTGGTCACGATTGCTTCAAGCTCGCCGGAGGAAAACCTCCACCACGGTCTTGGTGCCCTCAACCGTATAAGTCACCGACATGCATATGAATGCAATATGAATGATTAAAGCGTTTGATAAATCACCAAGTAAACATTGAACACTTGATGATTTATCTCAAATATACGCACATCAGCTTTTCTTAGAGTTCTATATGCTCAAAACAAATATCTCAAAAGTTGTCCAAATAAAAGAATGGCACATGATCTTTTATACAAGACTTGTTCTCTCTCATGGGAGAGAAACCCAATAGGCCACGAATATTAAACTTCCTATTGCACCACAACCTATCATCAATAAGAGATTTGATTCACCTTGGACTCAAAGTAATGACGCCTCTCTTTAAACCAAATTAACTAAGAGGTAAGCAACGTGCAAAGTCACAATAGGAAAAGATAATATTTTAACTTCAATTAAAATAGAGTTGAACTAGGAAAGTAATCTCAAGAGATAAAATCTAATCTTATTAAAAATAAGATTAACATAAAAATACTTGAGTGAAAATAACTCCAACTAGGAATCCTATAATGAATGCGTGATTATGTCATGATATACCTGAGGTCAAGATTCTCATATGGTAAGGGCATGCCTCGGAAGTGTGGGGTTGAAAGAGTAGTGACAAAGCGTTCAATAACAATTCCTCACAAACTAATTTTCACCCTATACTAAAGTCTAGGAAATGCCAATACGAATTTCGTACTAACACACCCATTGCCATGGCTAAGGGCAATTACTATTCATTTTTTTGTTTTATTCACAAATTTTTTTACCTCAATAATTAATTTGGATAATATTTTCGGATAAGATTTCCGGGTTCCTATGTGTCAAAACTATTCATAATTGGATAAAATTTCCGAATAAGATTTTTGGGTTCAAATTTCGGATGAATTTCAAAATTCAAATTTCATATAAATTTGGGTTCAAATTTCGGATGAATTTCAAAATTCAATTTTCAGATAAATTTGGGTTCAAATTTCGAATGAATTTCAAATTTCAGATAAGATTTTCATCCAATCAAATCAAGCCACGTGGCATCTATATCTTGCCAAAATTTTCTAAAAAACCAGAGGCGCAGCTCATACCTCTCACACCACATCTTTCTATATTTTCATTTCTTAGAGTTTAGAATTCATACTTCATTCATTCTCAATGGAAGAATATAGGAGATGCTTGGAGAGGCAAGAGCGAGAAAGAAATGAGAGAAACCGTAGAGCCGATGAAATCAATGAGTTGCAGAGACAAGTCGATGAACAAGTTCTCATAGCAGTGGCTTTGCAAGATGAAGAGAACCAAGGTCGTCGTCGTGGTTCACAAGTCGGCCGTCGCCGGAATGTGGACAGACATAGGCATTCTCGAGGTAAGAATCTTTTGGAAGATTATTTTGTCCCAACTGCTTTGTACTCTGATGTTGATTTTCGAAGGCGATTTAGAATGCAACCCCATTTGTTCAATAAAGTCATGCATGATATTTGCAATTATGATGCATACTTTGTTCAAAAGTGTGATGCTGCTAGCGTTTTAGGGCTTCTTCCGGAGCAAAAACTTACAGTTGTTATACGAATGTTGGCGTATGGAGCATCTGCTAATCAGGTGGATGAGATTTCCCGAATGGGGAAGTCCACTACGTTAGAGGCTTTGGTAAGATTTTGTGATGCAGTTGAAAATCTGTACACTAGGGACTACCTGTGTAAACCTACTCCCAGGGACCTCCAACGGCTTCTACAAAAAGCCGAAGCTCGAGGATTTCCATGAATGATTGGTAGCATCGACTGCATGCACTGGCAATGGAAGAATTGCCCAACTGCCTTGCAAGGTGATTACGGAAATAGAAAAGGCCAAAAAAGTATCATCCTTGAAGCCGTTGCTGGCTTCGACACATGGGTTTAGCATGCCTTCTTCGGAGTTGCCGGAACCCAAAATGACCTCAACGTGCTGGGTCAATCTTTGGTCTTCAATGATGTTTTGAGAGGCCAAGGCACAAATATCACATATCAAGTCAACAATACAGTCTACCAAACGAGGTATTATCTAGCTGACGGCATCTACCCAAGGTGGACCACATTTGTCAAATCCATTCCAAATCCCCGATCCCATAAGCAAAAATTATTTGATACCTATCAAGAAGGATACAGGAAAGATGTCGAAAGGTGTTTTGGCATCTTTCAAGCTCGGTGGTTGATTATTCAAGGTGCGGCCTGTATGTTTGATGAGGAGATCCTCATAAGCATTATGATGACTTGCATCATCCTCCATAATATGATTGTGGAGGATGAGTACGATTATGATGCTTTAGAGGTCTACGAACCGGATCCAATGAACACGGCCTTGACCAGGATTTATGAAAGGCCGATGGGGCCAAGTGGAGAACCGTTTGAGCCGGAACCGTTGGTGAAGGACGGTCGTTTCATGACCCTGATGATAGATCGATATACAGAGATGCAATCTTCATATATTCATGAAAGGCGTCAACTTGACTTGATGGAGCATCTATGGGCGGTGAAAAGCAATGAAGATGAATGATGGAGCATAGATACTTTGGTTATGTTTTATTTAGTTATGGTTTGGTTGTGTTGTTTTTTATTTATTATGGTTTGGTTGGTTGTGGTTTGTTATTATTATTGTGCCTTGTTTGTAGTTTTTCTTTATATTTTAATTATGGTTTGTTTGATGTATGGAATATGTTGAATAAAAAGGTCTTTTATTGAATGCTTTGTTTATTAAATAAAGAAATCCAATACAAGTCATTAAGAATTACTACTACTAAAATAAAATACATGAAGTACAACAACTTTAATAGAAAACATGAAAAATAAAAATACATAAAAGGTATGCCAACTAAATTAATGGTTTTGATCATTTAACCAATCCGTGTTGCTAGGCCCATCATCCCGGAAAAGTCTTCTTCTCATAACATCCCTTCGTTCTAGCTTCCAATATTGTTTTGTTTCAAGGGACATATGGCTTGTATCCATCGTCATAGTTTCCCGATCCGTCTTCTCCATATCTTTTTTGCGCAAATACTCCCTTTCTCGTGCACACTCGACTTGAATTGCCACCTCCATATCTTGGCGTTTCTGCTCCATTTCAATTCTTACGGCGTTCTACCTTGCAATTTCCTCCAAAAACTTTGAATTATTATTGCTTGAATTACCCGCTTTCTTTGCCTTCGCAGCCTTTCGACCAATGGGCCTCGACTCCTTTTCGATGGGTGAGTCTTGACTCATAGGGGAATCGAGAGGTGAATCCGATGTCGTTGAATCACGGAGTGGCGTCTCGTTTAACACAACGGCGGGACCCGTGGGAATAATTATGAAGCGTTTACAATATTTCACCACCTCCCAACATTCATTATGGTTGAAACTTTTTTTGCCACCCCTGGTTGCACTGAACCACATCTGTGCTTGAATCATCTATTTAATAAAAAAATAGAAATGCAAGAAATATTTAAAATATATTGGATATGCAAGTAACAAAAAAAAATAATGGAAATGAAATTAACCTTATAAATAAATTGGAAGTGCAAGAAATATGAAGAAAAAATTGGAAATGCAAGAAATATTAACAACATATTGAAAATGCAAGAAATATTAAGAAACAATTGGAAATGCAAGAAATATTAACAACATATTGAAAATGCAAGAAATATTAACAAAATATTTAAAATGCAAGAAATATTAACAAAATATTGAAAATGCAATAAATATTAACAACATATATATATTAGGACATTAAACTTAATTAAACGAAAATTACAAAATACTTACCTCATTAGTACGATTTTCCCCGCTTCTATAATTGTCCATCGCTTTTGTCAAGGCATCTCTCCATTTTCCCAACTCTTTATTGAGAATTTTCCACCTACTCGACAATGTCATTTCCGTACGAGTCGACCCCAGAATTTTTTCGCAAAATTCGGCATGAATTTTTTTCCACATATGGAAAAATTTCATCTCATTGCCTGTCACGGGACAATGACAAACTCGGAGCCAAGCCTCACACAAAGAAACATCTTCCATGGTGCTCCACGCCCCTCCGGTTTCGATAGAAGAAGCCATAAAAATAAGAAATAAAAATACAAGGTGAAAGAGAGGAAAATATTGAGTAAAGAGTGAATAAAATGTTGAGTAATAGTATAAGTAGAATAAAATGTATGAGGATTGGTGTTGAAAGTGAAGGGTATTGATAGGTATTTATTTTTAAAAAAAATCAGAATATTTTAGTATTTTTTTAAAAAAATATCGATTTTTTTCATAATTTTATTGCATGAAAAACGCCAGCCGTTGGATGAGGATTGGAGAAGCAAATCGGAGCGCTGGGGGCGTGACACATGGCTTCCAACTGTTGGAGCCTGTGTCGGGCTGACGTTAACGCACACTGGTTTAAATTCTTTTTACCGTTGGCGAGTGCATTGCACGCGCCAACGGTAAAAAAAAAAATTTACTCCACACGCTGACGTCAGCGCGACGTCGCGCATGACGTCACAACCCGTGACGTGGACCTCGAGCTGAACTGGCCTTCGGGCCAGACCGAGTTCATGGGACCCACCCCTTGCCCGGGCCTGGGCTCACCACTGGAAACTCCTTTCCCCCTTCCCCCAAGCCTTGGGCTCAGCTCCTTGCTGGAGTTCCTCTAAGAGCATCTCCAACAAACTCTCTATCATCTCATCTCTAGCTATTTTGGCCAAAAATAAGGAAAATACTCCTTCAGCAGACTCCCTACTTGGTCTCTATTTTGGAGAACCAACTTTTGGCTCTCTACATGTAGCAAGAAGGAGAGAGAATTTGGCTAGAAGGAGAGAGAAAAAAGGAGAGAGAGATAGAGACATTTGGGAGGTTGGTGGGGTTGGGTTCTACATTTTTTTTATAAATATATTGGATTTGCAAGAGAAAGAGGAAGAAAGATAGAGAAAATAGTAATAAAATATTTCAGATTAGCCAAAATAGAGAACATTGCTAGAGGAAACACATTTTAAAATCCAAAATAGAGAACATTGCTGGAAGAAACACTTTTTAGCTAGAATTTGGGTAAAATTTGGAGACTCTCCTAGAAATGCTCTAAGAGACCAAATTCCCAAGAAACAAGGAGCGACACTGAATCTCCTAGCAACTTCTGTCCCATGCTTGAAAACGAAATTATATTGAAGATAAAAAGGAGGATGTAGCAGAAAAAGAAGATAAAATGATGCTAGAATTGATGACCATGAAAGAGAATTGAAGGCAATACATCAGATACACACATAGATTATGAAATGAGGCAAATGCCGTTGATTTGAAATGTGAACACAACCAAACTGCACAGAAAGATATTCGGATATTAGGCACTAGACGTCGACAACCAGCTCATTAGAAAGAAAAACAGTAGTCTTTTTGAGGGACCAAAAGATACATGTTTGTGTTTACGGTGGCCATAGAAGAACCAATCCAAATGGTCAGAAAGCAATGGCTGTTGAAAATGGAAAAAAGAGAGAATCGTGACCAAGCTTTCTTTTATTAACTTGATGACTAATTAAACTCCTACTAAAGTAGCAAAGGACCTAATAGTATATTGGTTTGGAGTAATTATTCTCTCATATAAGGTTCTGAGTTCGAGTCCTAACATCTGTGTTGTGTGCGTGTGTCTAAGTAATTACAGATTAAGATAGAGCACACACACTCATAAAATGTCAGAATCTAGTTCTCCTCTGCCACCTTTTTCGAAGGATATTCAAAATGGAAATAAAGTATTATAAAGTATTGATAATCCACTCTTCTTCCTTCTCATTGCAATACAAATAAATAGTGTCCATCATCATCTAGTTTGACCTTGCTTCCTTTTTCTTTTTTTCAATTACATTTCCGTTATATTTATTTTGTTTATATATATGGAGTATCGATTATACGCTGATCATCATAAGTTCATAACCATTTAAAAACCCTATATTTTGTTGTTATTTCTTTTCTGCAATTTCAGCTTAGGAAAACGAAGTAGCTCATCGATCAGGAAGCCATGAAACACAAGGGTGGACAACGCGATAAGAAGAAATACATGTCCCTATGTGAGAAATCAATGGTGTTGGTGGCAAACATCATCAAACTTTCATCTCTGTCTCTGGCTAACAACAGTTTTGGAGCAACGTCGTGCGTCAGATCACTTGAGCCTGCTCATGGTCGTAAAATGACCAAAGTAGACGTGGTGATGCAAGTACCAATTACAGGGGATCAATTGTCATCGTCATCCTATGCGAGTGCTGATGTGGATGTGAAAGCTGAAGATTTTATCAGAAGGATACGTGACAAAATTCACAAGAACCAAAACGATCAGCAGCACGTATTGGGATAAAGTAAGTATATATTGTACTCGTAAGAACGTCCTCTTGCATGCATCAATTTGTTAATTATGATGTCTTGTATTTAATCTAGCATGTTCGTGTTTCTCATATTCACTTATGCATATCTATATGTAAGTTGATGATTGTAATTGTAGATTATTTACACAAAACCTTTAGTTTGTGACATTCATTGATGTATCGTAAATTAATTGATGTACATAAACCTACGTATAAACCCTTAAGTAAAGTGTGTGATGGCATGGAACAAGAAAAAAAAATTGTGGACAACAACTCCTTACTCCATTTTTTTCTTTTAAAATAATAATGTGGCATGGCAACCAACGTTCTTTGAATTTGAACTCGACTCCGTAGATTCAATCGGTGTGTGTTACCACACTGCTTTCATATTCTTGGAAAATAATGCTTGCCAATTGATTGATTTGAGAGATCATCCTCAACGATCATAAGGATTTGAATCCGAAAAGGACGTAATATATTATAATACTAATCAACAATTAATCTATCGATCGTATTGCATATACTATTTTTTAGCCCACCAATACACAAAGTGGTATATAAAATATGATATACCTAACATTTTTCTAGTATTTTTTATGCGCACTTAAGTTGCTTATCGATTTTATTATATTATATGGAACAAGATTCAATCTTGATTATATGAAAGATTTCGAGTGCTGGCTAGTTTTCAAAGAAAACAAGGACGACAAATTATATGTATACACATATAAATATTATAAGTTGTACATAAACAGATCGAATATTGAGATATTATTTTGTGCTAGCTAGTTGAAACTGCAAGCAAAAGGGTCGAGAGGAAGAGGACCAAATAACAATGCGCACCTGGTGCTCTTTATCATTCCACTACAAAAGGAAGCAGACAAAATTAAAACAAGAATCCCCCACACAGAGAGGACTAAGTCTGAGATCGACATCCCATCTTGTCCTAATAATAATATAACTCCTTCTAAATTAAACCCAACCCAATCCCTGTACAAAAAAAGAAAAGAAATTAATCACCTAAATCACCTAGCTACATAAACCTAACCCCCTTTTAGACTACTCTAATTACTCCATCCAAATCCACTTTTATCTTATCGATCTAATTAATTAGGATTTAGGCCCACCAATGATTAATCTTCATTTCCCATCATGCTGCTAGCTTGCTATAGCCGGCCGTATATATATATAACACACGTACGACATACATCCGCATCAACTTGTTCATTACTTAATTAAGCCACGCTGATGATGCTATCTGAGCCACTGGACATGCCTTGAAACGCAGACGAGTGAGACGACGCCTTACTAGGTGACTGCTCCTCGGACGACGTAGTTGCGAGCTTCAGCGACAAAGGCGATGGATCCCTTGTGGGTGGCGGCGTGTACTTGTTATTCAAATTAAGACCGGCCATTTTGGAAGATGGGGGAGGGGACACCGGATGAAGTGGAATCGGACGGATGAGCTTAGCCGACAACGTCGTTGGTGCTCCTTTTGCCTGCTGCGGCACTTCGTTCTGTAAATTCAAATTTGGTCCTATTGATGAAGTCTGATTGTCCACTGATGAGGTTTCACCAGAGACGGGTAGGACCCCCGGAGACAGCGCCATCGGAAAAGCCGAAACTGGAAACCCTCCAAGAATGTGGCGACCCAAATTCATTTGTGCCTGTGGCTGTTGTGGGTAGGGCAACGCGGTTGCTGTTTCTTGGTGCTTCTGCTGGCCTATGTCTTCATCCATCAATGAATTCATCAACTGCAACCATTTAAAATGCGTACACATTTAACATACAAACTCATGAATAACAACGAGATGTGTAAAAATATTCTTCTCGTGTCAAATTTGTATTGCTAGCTAGACAGTGATATATTGTCTGCTGCTCGACCACCGACTCTGATTCCGTACCGCACATTTTGACAAAAAAAACTATTCTTATCATTAACATTTATTTCTTTGTAAAAGTAAAATGAAGAATTAATTAACGCACAAAAGACAAATAATACTCAAAGCATCAAGGCATGAACTAAGATGCTGGAAATATTAATTAGTGATTCCCTTAATTAATTAAAATAATGAAAGTACATACGGGGGCATCAGTGGTGATGTCGAAGAGACTAGATCTGCGGCGTCTTCGGTTGTGGTTGTTACGCCTGAGGAAGTACTTCTGAGCATGACTCGCCACCTGAGTCGGGGTCCGAGTCTTCACGAAGTTTCTAGAAATCCCCCTCCAATCTCCTTTCCCCACCTTCTGCAAACCCAACAAGAACAGCCTGTGCTCCTCCTCCGTCCACGCAACACCTTCAACCAAAACAAAACAAAAAATGATTAACAAATTAATCAACAAAAAAAAAGTAATCAGTATAAACCCAGATCAGGATAAAGCAAAGGCAATACCTCTCTTGCGCTCTCGGCGGTGGCCAGAGGCGTGTACGACGTCGTCTGAGGCGTAGCCGGCATCGCCGTTTGAGTCGGCCTGCAGGTTCTGCTCGTACTGGGAGAGATTGTTCATGCTGGCGCTCTTCCTGAACGCGTTTTCCTCCGTGACTCTCACGCCGAATAGCATGATGCCGTTTTCAGCCGAGGCGGCGCCACCACCTCCGCCGCTGGCTTCGGTACATGTGCGCGAGTTATGGCCGTTGTTCCCACACTGAGAGCACGTGCGCGACATGATCTCCTTCTACGACGTCGTACTCACTCACACGTTGTTGTTGGTGTTCTGCTTCTGGCAAGACGACGACGGCTAAAACTAATTTAAGAGAAATTTAAAAAGTCATGCAAGAAAGAAAGAAAGGTTATGAGGGAAAAAGGTAGGAAATTGGTTTGTCTAATGAAAGAGAAAAAAGAGGTCTGCGTAGGCTCATATATAGTTGCAGTTGCAGCTGTAAATAATAAGCCCGTATACTATTTTAGGGTTTCTTTGTGCTCCCTTGTGTTTATTCTATCTGTAACAACATGGACCGTGGAACTCCAAGAAATGTTACAGTGCTTCGCAGTGGCATCGCATTAATGTATCTGTAGCTCGCATGCTTAATAGCTTCTTTAAATCGTGAATCAGGGCCGTTGAATATGGGTAGACAATGTCGATACAACCAAGCCTCTGTGTCATAGTAATGTCCTAATACAATGGGCCAGGTGTTTTCTGGATGAGCTTTATCCTGTGCGCCATCCATAGGATAAAATTTTAAAAATTATCCCCACCGTTTATTTATCATGTAGCGGATCACACTGTCTCTAGTTGTTTGGAGGGTTTGGTAGGGATTTTTCCTTAATTATTTATTTCCCTTAATCATGTGGTCTTCTTATTATAATTTAGATGTAACCCTAATTTTATATCATCCATCCTTCCCACAAGAAGGCATTATTGTTAATGAAGACTATGGTAGAGATTTTTTTTGTATTAAAATAATTGGAGATGGAAAAAATATATATATATATAAAATAGAAAAAGCGATGGTGGAGGAGCAAAGTATTCAGTGCACCGTCAACTGGGCATATTCGCTGGCTCTTTGAGAAAAATATCGTTTCTCAATTACTTCACGTTAATTAAATCCATTTCGCTGATTGGCTGGAAGTACATAGTCTAGTCTCTTGGTGGTGGTGGAGGATGTGGTTGTGGATGAGTAAAGATTGGGCCCCACCCATCAACTACACACCCTCTCTCTTTACCTCTACCTTTCTTTGTGGCTCTATGCATCCCTTTGCCTTTCGTGGTGGACTGATGCCTTTTTACTTTCCTCGCTCCTTTTCTTTTCTCTTTATTTCTGTCTTCCTACCTTTTTCCCAGCTTGGTGCGTTCGTGCAGAAAAATGTGTGTGAAACGAGAATAGCATCGTTTTTCTATTTTCAACTAATTATAAAATGTCACGTAATAAATTTATCATGATTGACTAAGATAATAAAATAGTGTTATTTAGATTTCACACGAGTATTTCTCGTGTTCTTAGTAAAACAATTTTATTCCGTTTCACACAAATGTTTCTCGTATCCTTGAGGGAGACTCGTAAAGTAAATTGACAAAGTTTGTCCACCATAAACTCTCAAAGCCAATGAGGTGAAGCCACATAAGTGGTAGTGTAGAAAACAGGGGGCTGCGACTGTGAGCTATTGGGCTGTGTTGTAAAGCAGAAGAGGGGTCATGTCAGTTTATAGGTGCTCTTTGGAAGCACATGGTCCTCACTTATTGGTTCATTTGATCCTTTAATTTTTCTTCTTACTATTGACGTTGAGGCGTTTTTTGTGTTGTGTCCAAAAACCCTTTGTTTTCTTGTGCAAATTTTCTGCAGTGACTTCCCATGCAGGTAATGGCAAAATCCGGTACACCATCGCGGCGGCTAATGTTACTTTCATTTTTCAACTCCCAGTTTCTCCAACTCTTAACATATTGTCCTGCCTTCGTCTTCCTCTTTAATTATTCAGTTTCCCCTAAACTACAAACTACATTTAATTATTTGGTTAATCTAATGTTTTATAAGTTTAGCCTCGATTATTAAATCATAGAAAAAGAATATATATATATATATATGCGATTTAGTACGAAATCAGTAGGGTTATAAAATTATATCTAGTTTGAAAAATAAGTACTGGCTATAATGGTAGGGTTATAAAATTATTCAAAATGAGTTTATCATAATCCGAGGAGAGAGGTACGCAATTCAAATCATCATGAGAGACGAATGAAGATACCTAACTATTATTCAAAAGAGTTTTCTACCGTCAAATCTGTTGACTCCCATGTACGTTGTTGACATATAAAATATCTGCTTTTCACATGACAAACCTTTTATTCTCACGTATATCACATGATGGAATAAAAATAGGCAGAAATAATATTGAGAAGCATAGCAAAACACTAGGCAAGAAACATGCAGCTATAATATCTCCACGACTCTCGGATTTATTTAGCCCATCCTAATCCTATAGATAATCCCCGCTTTATGACGGTGAGGTGGGGAGGAAAAGGGGACGAAATTTCAAGGACTTTGAAAATATGATACGTGTGATTAACTTGAAGTAGTAGTGCAATAACATATTCAACACGGAACAACCTTATTTAGGGTAGGTTTTCCTCATAGCAAAGTATGATATGTTCGTACCGTTGTAGGCTGTAGGGTAAAGCCAAGCAATGGTCATTATCACGCAAAGACGAGGTGCATCTCATGTCCACGTTGGGATAAGTTTCTGACCTTCACTGGCCATTCAATCAAATTGATTGGTGCGTTTGGTATCGTCCATCTCAGAGAGGATTAGGACAATATGTCTTGATATTGGTTAACAACAAGCCACTCCAACCAATCAACGGCGGCGATGTATTAGTTTGACCAAAAACAAGATTGGATCAACGGCCAAACAACGCTTCTTTTTTATTTGTATAATTGCATTTTTTATCCGTGTAATTGGGAGAAACCAGTTGCAAAAAGACTTGTAACTCAAATAATTAAGATGTTAATTCCCCTCACTTAAGCAGCCACCATCATTTTATGAACTCAAAACGTACAAATTTCATTCTAATTTAGCCTTAAAATTCCTCATCAAATTATTACATGTATCATTGGAATCATTGCCGTTCATTCAAGTGATAGTACTAATAGATAGGGTTGATGCCCGGCAGCCTGCAACAACATGTTGGATGTAGACCCTACAAAGATATAAACAGAGTTGATTATAGGACCATGTCTTTTGTCTTCTTCTTATGTCTCCGGAACCGACCTCTGATATTTAAACTTGACCAAAAACTTTGATCCACTTGGACTTGGAGTGTCTATGGCTCTGAATTTGCATTTATGAGGATATAATAGGCCAATTATATGCCTCCAGCATATACACTACATCCAAGCTGCAAGATGACAACTAGGGCATCATGCATTGATAGATAGAGAGATGGCATCTGTAAAATGAAGAGTTAGTAATGGTAATGAGGAGATATCCTAGTTATCGTGCGTGGTCTTTTTGGGCTATCTTTTATCTAATGAAGCGTTCTTTTTTTCTTTCTTTTTTAACAAAACGTTATTCTACTCTAACGTATAGGAAGAGAGATTGAACTTGGACGCAAAGAAATGGGTGTCTTAACCAACTAACCTAACTCACATATGTCTATTTAATGAAGCCTATTCACTTCATTTCATTTTTTGATTCCCAAAACAACACTAAACATAAACAAATTTATGCCTTAAAAGGTCACTCTTATCTTCATCAAGAATACTCTTCATCTGATCAGGAGGAGCAGAAAAATCATGGTAGCCCAAATCCTTCTGCTGTCCCAACTTAGCTAAAAAATCAGCAACACAATTGGTCTCTCTATAAGCATGAGTAATAATGCAATCCCATAGTCTCTTCCACAGCTCTCTACATCTAAATAGCATAATATACATAGGATGAGTGGTCAACAGCATTTAACAAAAAAAGTTAACAAAATTGACGGCTGAACTATTTGTCCTAATGAAAGTGAAATTAAAGGATCACGAGAACGATTTTGGAAATTGAGGGACTTAAATGTAAATCGGGTCTAAATTTAAAGACTAATAAAACGATTAACCCTTTATAAAAAAAATAACACTAGGCTATGTGCAAGTTGGTTTTTTAACCTTTCTTCGTAAGAAATATTTTTGTCGCTTAGTCCGGTAAAAATGCCTACAACCAATGGACCAACAAGCCTTAGGATTGTATTATGGGCCTCAGGCCCAAAATATTTAGTGAGAAGGCTTAGAGCCTTTTTCTTGAAACCATACGAGGTCGTTTGAAACCAAGTCGGCAAGTCTAAAACTTCTCCCAATGAATTGCCTTCAACTCAGGCTTGTCTTTAGCCGTTGGATGCACAAAGCAACAAATTGAACGAAACGACTGACCGTATCAAATCCCAAGCAAATGATCAAAAATATCAACGGCCCTGTCACCTATTCTACAGTTTTCGATGGAAGCGGGAAGCCTTCTCCTTAGTCCAATTCCATGGACCCCAAAACGCCCTCTCCGACGTCGTCTTGGCCCCACTTTCCCGCGCCCCATTAGGGCTTTGAATTCAGATAGTCGTTACAAAGGCCCCAAGCCACAGAGAAATTGGGTGGCCGATTGGGTCTCCAACAACGACGACGCCGTTCGGAGCTTGCCGATTTACGCGGGAGGCGCCTCCCTCTTGGCCGTCCTCTTCAACCGCACCGTTTCGGACATCGCTCTGGTCGCTGACGCCAGCAGGTAACCACCCAACGCAATTCTCTCCGCTTAATTTCTGCGTTTTAGTATCATTTTCAGCATTTCGAAAATTACTGTTGCAGTTGGTAATTACGCATTGTGAATTTGTGATTTGTGAGCCTAAATATTTGTATGAAATTATGTTTAACTTGTAGTTCACAGTCTAGAGCTGATTTGTTGACGTTGGGATTGGCTGTGACCAACATACTAGCAGGTCTGGTATGGCTGTCAATCAGACCAAAATCTATATCTAAGGTGAGAAATTGAGCTCATTGTATTTTTTTTTAATGACTTAATTGCTTATGTATTTTATTATTTGATTCAGGTGAATCCCGAAGGGATCGAATGCGAGAGAATGCATTCTAATCTCCCAAACACCCTGCTTTCTGAGTTATTGTGGTAACACATTACACATGATATGTATCAATGTTTGATCAAATTGTGATTTCTAAGCAATGTGTACCCCTTTCGTAGAGGCACGAAGTTCCAGTATTTTCATTCTGTATCTGTAGCATTACATTCTGTTTTGCAATACAATCATACCTAGTTTGTAGGGATTAGAAGATTAAGAAATCACTACTTTGTTTAATATGTGAGCATGGCTGGTTAATTGTTGCTTTTCATTGCTTGTTCTCAGGGCATGGGAATCTCTGTCAGATGTGACGTGCTGCCGGTCTCTTGTTATAGTTTATGATGGCAGATGTATCCTTCAGATTGGTTTTGCAGCAGAATCTTCTAATGGTAATGGCAAGGCTGTGTCTGTGGATGCTGATAAACTGATGCAAGGATCACTCTATCGAGGTGTTATGAAATCAGGAGTTCGTAAGTACTTGCTAAGGACTCTGCATATCATCTGTTGAAGTTTTTCAACTATTTTACCATGTCACATCTGAACTAGACTTCCACCAAATGTTTGATAATCTTGAGACCACCTATTTTTTCAGAGAGCTATTTGGCAAACCTATATCTTTATCCTGGAAAATCTGAGCTGCCATTTCTGCCTTCAAATACACAGGTTCAGTTTTCTTCTTAGATATATATTTTTTTTTCAATCATGTGTATCTGTTCAAGTAAATATGTTTGTTCATCCAGTGATTCGTTCATCAGGAATACACACACCTAAACAGTAACTTGATGTGCACAGCCAGCTGAAAGATACATCTTTCTTAGTTTCTTCAATTATGTGCATTAGAACTCACCTTGTATATCTGCTTTTAACGATTGATAACACGATTCCCAACTTTGCCAGGCAGTAATATTGCAGCCACTTGGAGACAAAGGGATCACAATAATTGGTGGTGACACGGTTAGAGGATTCACATCTGCCGATCAGGTGTGTGTCCTTTTCGACCTTGAAAATATTGAACTCTGAAAAAAAAAAAAAAAAAAAAAAAAAAAAAAAAAAAAAAAAAAAAAAAATTATCTTGTATACATTAAGAGAGTGCAATTGTGTGTGAGTTTCAATCAATTGGTTTGACACAAGTTAGACAAAGGGCTGTTGTATACAAGGATCATAATCCTTGATATTTCTTTCTTGTTATGTTCTTTTGATAGTGTATATATCAGTAAACCTATATTCTTCAAAATGAAAGTATCTAACTTGTGGCTGGTTGATCAAACTCGTTGACATAGTCAATTAATTAAGCTTTGTCTGTTTATTTATTGTTTGCATTTATCTATTTTTCATGTAGTTGCACTAAAAATTGAAATGTTTACAGGCATGGATTTCATTAATTGGAGAGAAGCTGGATTCTACTCTAGCAAAGTATGTGGATAACCCCACATTGGTTGTGCAAGATCCAGTTTTCAAGTAATTAAACTATAAAGCTTGTTGATATTATCGCTTTATGCAATGGCTGTTGCCTTAAGCCAGGTACTTTCTCATTTCTGATTTGTACTGACTGCATCACACAGAGTAAAATCATTTCAAATTATTACACTTGCATGGGAAAAAAGGTTTATGTGATATATTTGCAGTCAATTTGGGCATACAATCTAATTTATAAGGTGTTTATTTGTTTATTTTCATTCTCAGGATTCTCAAGCAACAGATTTATCATAACAGAGAATGAAGGATGGCGATTATTGCGATCATATTCTGGTGCCAGGAAATCTGCTGCAATACCCAATCGATAGCACTGTTGTCCTTGGATATATAATGTATGCACATAATATGTTTCTTGTACTATCAGTCAGTTAAATGTCATGGATCATGCGCATAAAACGGATTCTTCAGAGCTGCTTACTGGGAATTCTATACTAAGGGAAGCATTGGTATTCAGATATTCGAATTCTTAAAATACTCAAGCACCACATTTTGATTGTAAATGCACGTAATTTTGTTCAATTTCTCTAGTAAGAAGAATGTTGAATTAGCCAAGTTGGGCTTTGATTGCGGTTTTACCACCTTAGCTTCAATAGAAATAGATTAGACGTAAAGAACAAATTCGCATGCGTTGCATCGATCATGTTCGCTGCAAAGCCTGTCTTCCTAATCAATGTGTTATTTGTGATGTAAATTATTGAATAATCGCTTTACCATTAATTACCATCCCTAAAATCATTTGGTCATTCCAAGTTTCCAACGTTCTTTTTTCCCGCTTGAATGAACTTCGGTTCATTTGGTTATCACTGAACGTACTTAATGTTACCTCCAATTTGATTTCCTTAAATCACATCAAGAGCATGATGACTAAAATAACACCCAGAAAAAGGGGAGAAAAGAATGCATAATTCATTTATTTTAATTAAGAAAATTAATTTGTATTCATTCTACAAGCAAGGAAAAATTTCATGTCATATTGTTCACAAAATTTACACCGTGTAAGAAGTCTGTAATTAATTCATTGCATGTGTATGAAAAAAAGAAAAAGAATAATCAGATACAAAAAAGGAAAAAAATTACAATGAAAAGAATGGCTTCTGTTCTGTGTGTGATTTACTCTGTGTTATACACGGGCGTCAATCTGAAAGCACCCAGCTCTGCAATTTGTATTCGTCACAGAAGAGACTTCTCCCATGGCAGTGACCCAGTTGCAGGATCAGCAAAGTAACCCAAAACATAGTCTTTAAGGCCAGTGTCCCAAACCTCGCAGAACCTCAACCGCCAATTGGGTGGCTCAATGGCCTCAGTTCCTAGCCCAGGTGCCCTATCTTTTGACCCCTGGTTTTGATCCTCCTGCCAATCAACAACATAGGTTGCTACCCTTCTGAAAAACTTGGCCCTGAAAGTCTCCCAAACCTGGTATTTGTAATGGTTTATGACAGCAACATTTTCAGGCACATTCAGGTGCCTGAAACCTTGTCTCAGCCTAAAATGGTGAACCACATTGAGCAGAGTAACATCAAGCAAATCTGCCCTTACTATAGACTTGTGCCTCTCAGGGCTTTGCAGCCTGCAAGTGTACCCAACAGTGACACCCTGCGATGGATGTGAGCTCAGCCCAGATGGCCCAAAGCTATGGCAATCTGTTCTGATCTCCCCAATCGTGGGCGAATAGGAATAATTCGAAACGAGGTTTCGAAGCGAGTTTTCACCAGGAACACCGTCTCCTCTGTGGTGCCGAAACGCCCTAGGGAAGTAGAAGAACTCATCGACATCAAAGAAGCCAACCCAATGGCACTCGTCTCTCGCTCTCAAAGCACAACGCGAAAAGCCTGCTTCTTGGGTTTTGATCCATGGCCAGCTCTGCCTGCTGACATTGTAGGCCTGCAACTCTAGCTCCTGAACCACATCTTCAATCCCGTCGTCACTGTTGTTGTCGTAAATGAACCAGCGCTCAACTCCAAGCCAAGCGTGGTACATAACCCACTCTTTTAGCGCTGGTGCTTGGTTCCACAACATGGTGCAAGCACAAAGCTCGTGCTTCTTCTTCTTTTGATTTTCGTTTCTCACAGTGGATTTAGAACTGTAAATTGTGGCCACAGAAGGCAGAGTGACATGAACTGGAGCTCTGGCGCTGCCAGTGTTGTAACCAATCGTGACCCGAACTCCATGGATCTTATCCGGGTTGTTTCGGATAGTCCGGGGCAGCAAGCACCGGACAACTTCCTGAGCGGCCGTGACAGCTTCAGTGGTGAGCACAAAACCCTGGTCTTTTTCCCAATTGCCATTGTTGCCCAACCCGAAATGGCAAGTGAGTCGGGTCGGATCCGATTTCCTGTGGGGCCTGAGGTTCAACCCCTTAACGAACACAACCGCCGTGTCTCCATCAATAACCGCCTCGTAAACTACTCTGTCCCAAGGATAAGCCGTCCCGTTAATCCCAGCCGTCCAATCGTAACCGCCGCCACGCCTCCTCAAATCGACGGCCTCCGAGTAATTATTCGACGGCAGCGGACACCTTGCTATGGAACGGAGCTCGTCGTAGACGTCGGTGGACAAAACCGGTCGAATAGCAAAATCCAGGTGCGGATTCTTTTCTCCATCTTGAAGAAGCTCATCTGAACCGTTGGATAATCTATGGTAAACGCACTCCAATTGGTCGTTTTGGCGAAACCTATTGGGCACAATGAGAAGAACGTGATCGGGAAACAAGATTCGATCTTGAACTCGAAGAGAGGACGAGTCTCTGGTGTTGCTGTTGCTGTTTCTGTTAGTGAAAGACTCGAGAATCGAATTGCTTGCAGTGGAGGATAGGAGGGAGAGGGTGGTGGTGGAGGCGGTGAGGACGGGCCGAAACGACGCCGGACGGAAGCGTTCGGAGGAGAGGAGCAAGAGGAAGATGAAGAAGGAGAAGCAGAGAATGAGAGGCCTTCTCAGGGACAAGTAGTGCTTTGCTTGTGAGTAGGACCGAAGCATGCGCTTCCGCTTGCGGCGTTGCTCTGATGAGTCCATACCTGACATTTGTTGCCAAAAATGGAAAGAAAAAAACCCAAAAAAGTGGGAGTTTTTCTGAGAATAATTAGAAGGGGTAGGGGATTGGGGTGGGTTTTGAATAGATCTGCTGCGGCTGCCGACAAGTGGGTTTTTATGAAAGTTGAAAACTTTCGGGGTTTTGAGAAATGGGTCTGGCGTCTCCGACCATTTGAGGAAGAGATAGAGAGAGAGAGTCTATAAAGGGGGGCTGCTGGTGGGGGGTGATGAAGAAGAAGAAAGAAGTGTTGATTGGGGCAGAGGGTGGTGGTGGTGGAGATTAACCGGTGTCAGTTAATGCTAATCAGTCTTGATTTTTAGTTAAAGTGTTTTTGCTGACTTGGGATTGGACTATGAGGATGAGCCAAGAAGAAGAGAATAAAATTGGCTGACCGACCGAAATAATTGGGATTTGAGGCGGACGCTTTTTTCGGGGCTTCATTTTTCGGAGCATATTATTTGTATAATAAGGCTTGAACTAAAAGACACCATACATGATTTAGCGGAGGAGGTTGCTCAGAAACTACACCTGTTTTTTACACTTTTGTTGTTAATCGTTGTTACTGCTCTGCTCTCCCTTTTCCATACGAGTAATGTTAGGCTTACCACATTTTTCATACCACAATTGTACCACTTCTCTAATAGAGGTGGAGCCTATTCACTTTGCGCACTCTTCATACACATGAATGCTTGATTGCGAGCCTATTCACTTTGTGCACTCTTCATCAACTAAAACTACGATTCCAATATCAAAAACATTGATTAGAAAAATAGTAATACTTGAATAGTTAAGTAGTAATAGTGATAGCTATATTAGAAACATGTTTAAATTTTTATTAACGTAAAAATTACTTTTAAATTCTCCTTGTCAAATGATCCGAATGCGACTTAATTTCACTAGGCAATGGAAATTGACACAACACCCACCTCCATAATTTGTAATTTGATTATGTCATTACCGGTGTACAAAATATAAAAATATGGCAAGATAAGGTGCCCTTGGTCATAAATTTTGTTTGATCTTATTTTTATTCTTCAATGGTGACAACCATAAGTTTCATTCACATGTCGCTGACCCATTTATTCATCTGCTTTAGCGGCCAGTGGTTTATTATTTGAAAGTTCGATGATTCTTCTACGAATGCTCCTGTTAAGGTGAAGGTATTTCGCAGAAGTTCAATAAAATAAAACGTGTATTGCATAGCTTTAGGATACCGTCTGTCTTTCAACAATACAATTTCAGATCTAAAGTGTGATTTGGAAATCATGAGAGGTTTTATTTAATGAAAGACATTTGTGAACTTTAGTGCTTGTGTTGCTTTAATTTCTAGTTTTTTTTTTGTTTGGGAAAGTTATATTCTAAACTATCTTAATATAAAGCGAATTTGCAAGATGTTTGTAGTTCAAACAATTAAAATCATTTACAAGATATTTGTAGTTCATGCGTCCGCACTGCCCTAATTTACTCACATATGCTAATCTCTCGTTGTCTTACACTTTGTAAAGTTTCTATAGCCTCTTTAATGTCCAAAACCAGATATGACATATACAATCTCAAAACTTTCAGTGATATATGCTTCATGCATTTTAATATTTACTCAAAGAAAAAATTAGTTTATAGCAAATTGCAAGTAGGAGTTGTTTCCACACTGACAATTGGGTATCCATGTGTTGTCTAATGAGCTGGTATTGGTAGACATTCATTCCACAAGAGCATGTAGGTTTTTCTTTTCTTCTTTTTTCTTGTTTTGTTTTTTGGGTCAAGAAGGGGGGTCCTATTAGCTATTAGCTGGCAAAAGGGTTGGGTTTTAGGACTTATAAGGATACCGTGTAAAGCACGAATTAAGGTGTATAATTTCCCATGTTTCAACATGTGCTTCCCACGGTAATGCGAACCACCTTTCTCTCTATCATTGTGATTCATTTCTTGCATACTCGGAAAGATATATATTCTCCGCAAAATGAATGAGTCAACAAGTCACCATTTACCAATGGGTTTCTTTTTTCTTTTTCTTTTTCTTTTTCCTAAGAAAATAAAAGAAAAGGAAAACCATTGGTAATTGAAGAGCCTTGAAGCACTCGTGGTAATTAGCAGAGCAACGGACAGTGACCGGAAAATGCGTTATTGGGTACATGTTTTCTTGCTCGAAAGAAGTTGACAAGAAAAGAAAAACTTATATATATATATACAAACAAATAAAAAGAATAATGTTGGCGTAGCTTTGAATTTGGGTAATAAAATTATGGTTCGTCCATTTAAAGCTTGATGTTGAAGGGTTTGTAGTCTAATTCAACATAGTAATCAGAGAGGCCAGTGAATAAAAGCATTTATAAAGTAAAAGATGACATATGCCTGGTTGAAATTTATGATAATTCAAAGGGATATTAATAATATTCAAGGTGGAATTCCATATTTTCAGCTTTCTCTATTTCTTTCTTTCGAATTATGATTAGCATTTAAGAAATAAGAATCAAGAGGTAGAAAAAGGCAACCCCTTTTGATACGTTGAATATACCAACGGGGCCTAACCCAATGAAAAAGAGTATTGACTTGCATATCAGTGGTCATGTTTAAATCCTGATAACACCTTAGAGCATCTTCAAGGGATATGTCAAATACCAAACATCAAATTTAAATTTGATGGCTGATGTAACAATTTGATATTTAAACAGTTTTACACTCCATCCGATATGTCAAATAAATAATTATTGTAACAGTCAAATCATTAAAGATAAAGAAGAAAAAATAATAATAAGTAAAATTATAAATGAAAGTCATAGCCATCTGTCTTTAAAAATAATAAAATATTTATTTGACATCTTGCTTTTGGGATGTCAAAAATAACAGTTGAACCCCCAACTTTCATTCCACATCAGCTTTGACAATTCGGTTGGAGTGATGTGAGATGTTATTTATAGCCGTTAAATGTTTATGTGGCACTTTTAACATATCGGTTGGAGATGCTCTTAACAATGTGTGTGAGAAATCCCCTTCCTCTTATAGTTTAGACTATAACTTGTATTTTTTTATATTTAATATACATTGAATATTGACAGACTTAGACAGTTTAGAAAACTACAGAAAATTATAGTACTTTTCTCGTATAATAAGTTTAGGGGAAAGACGTACATTTGGCGTTTGAGCATATTCTTTAGGTACACCAAGAACAAGTCTTGCTCTTATTAATTAAAATTCAGAAAGTGTTGGAAAGTATTTAATTGATTGACATCATATACCACTACCGTTATTGGTCTGCATAAGTCCAGTTGAAGGGGAAATTATATATTTCAAATTCGGTCCACTAGTTCTTAAATTAATATCAAAAGATTAGAATATTTGTACATTATTATGAGTTTGGATAGGAGGACAAGGGAATATTGTAAACTGATAAGCCTGTCTGGCATGGTCCAGCCCCAAATGGAGCCTTTCCAAGTTGCAGGTCGTAAATGGCCAAGTTTCTAATCCTGCCTGCCTTCTCCACAGCCCAAGCTTGTTGTACCCGAGAATTAGGTCATTTTCTGACCTAAAGATAAAAGGGATTTTCTAAATGCACTCAACTTTTGACAAAGTGCAGCATCCGAACAAAATTCGAAGTTTTCCATGATACCCTTGGGCTGGGTGCACATTAGCCTACTTTATAACTTTTGCATTTGCATGCAGATAAAGTTAGGCTCATTGGCAAGTAATGTGTAGAGGGTGAAGCTAGAATTGTAAATATTAATTTAAAAAATACATATGTATTTAAAACTTATATATTGAAGCTAAATAATTTTCCGTTCTTTATGTACAAATTTGTTGGAAGGGGCCCATATAAACAGGCTTCCTCTTACTATTTATCCAAGATAACATGTAAATATAGATAGGAATTTAGAAAATTGGGGGGTACTAAGGCTACCCTTAGCCTTAAAGCAGCTCCGCCAGCCAATGGCGCTACATTGCACTCGAGTTCAATCCTCCTTCATAGACTAAAGTAATTTATTAGAATAATTTAGACTATCCATTCAATTTTTTATTTTTTTAAACTTGCATTTGCATAGCTGGCTCCGGCTTGTAGAAAATGGGAGCCCAAGAACATCAGTTTTAGAGTTTGTTTTCCGTCCGGCCCAACCTGGTGCCAATTCGGGCCATTTCCTAGGCGAGAGCATATATTTAATCATGTATGGCTTTGTTTGGATTTTAACAGTTTGCGTTGTTTATAAGCCGAAATGATTTTTCTTGTTTAGTGGTGGAATGGGCGGGAAATTAGATTAATGTTGAAAGCCATGAATTGTTATGATTATTTAGACTCTTAAACTAAGTTGAGGGTTTAGGGTTTAGTTATGGAATTATTTAGATGGTGATGGCACTTGGGATCGCTTGAAGCTAAAGCCAGCTGTACAACGACATGAGTTACACACAGTTGTCGCTCGCTACAAACAAATTGTTGCTGAAAAACCACCGTGTCGGTGTGGCATGCTTATTTTTTAATATAGCAGCCCACGTTCTAATAGGTGTATTGTACGAACCAGACAGTCTACGGACGCGTTTATATTTGCAGAAATAAGAAAACTCATTTACTGATCTCATCATATATATACAGCAAGTAGAGTAACAACAATCCAAGAACAGATGAGTTTGTACAGATTTAGTTTCCCTCCCTTTACCGGCAATTGGTGCAGGTAAGTAATAAATATAACACATGCTACGAAGACTCTACTCTGGTCTATTGCAATTAAATCTGAAAGCTGCTTTTAGGAGGAAAAGGACGAGGCACGTGTAATTATAAATGGAGCCCCCTTTGCTCCCACTATCCTGTGCATCAATATGCCACATTGAATTAGAAATTTCATAAATTATGCCCACCTACATATATAAACACTTGATCGGCATTCAATTTAATGTCTTCAGGTCTCTTTCCACGCCCCATGATGCTCGTCTCTCTCTACTAAGAAATAGATCCATCAATCATCAAACATTTTCCACTTCAAACAATTCTATGATTCTTCTATCT